TAAGAAATAAGATCACTGCCAGTTAGGCATGTTCGCTTCCTTGGTTCTTTGTTGATTTTTGAACTCTCTCACACAAGCACTAATACACACGTGTCTATCATACACAAGCACATTCTCATAGTCAGATTCATTGTTTTTTCTTTTCATTTCAAATGTGTACACATGTAATTACTTTTGTTATTAACATGCATTGTCAACTTATAAATTGGAGATACTGAAATCAAACAAGGATAACAATTTAACTGAGAAGTGTTTTAACAGAGGACAAAAAGTGTGACACTGATTAATAATAATATTCAAAATTACTGATTATATTGTTGGACCTACATAATTATTTTATTATTATTTATTATATATATATATATATATATATATATATATATATATATATATTAGCACTCTTAACTAAAAGATTAGATAATTTTTCATTAGATTTACATTTTTTATGACAATGGAAAGAAAGTAAAGAAAAGCTGAGACAATGAATAAGCATGGTATTTCATTAATACATATCTCTATGTTCTATGTTTACCGTTAAATAGAGTTTGAAAAAATTAATCAGATTTATTTAAAAATAATCTCAGAAACTATGTCAATGTCAGAAAAATTAGTAAGTATTGAGATTTATCAAATCTGGAATATTTGGAACTGCTTAACAACACACACATATAATATATAATTTCAGCATATATATATATATATATATATATATATATATATATATATATATATATATATATGTGTGTGTGTGTGTGTGTGTGTGTGTGTGTGTGTGTGTACTCGCGTATCACATGACTTTTGAAGATTTAATATTGAAGCTAATTTTAAGGGGTTCACATCATACAGGAGATATGAAATTAGCATATGTACTGCTATACTATTGATAAAAAGGAAACATCTCTTTACTGTAGTCAAATTAGCTACAAAAGTCGCATGATATATGAGTATATAGTATATATATAAATAAATGAAATATATATATATATATATATATATATATATATATATATATATATATATATATAATTATTTAAAAAAATATGATTCCAAATCGCTACATAAGAGGTCTCATGTTTCAAAACTAGAGCCGAAAACTTCAATATAATCCTTTAAATTAAATTGAGTTGAATACTTTCAATTAAATTTCCATCCTCAAGCGAAATTTTTGTTGGAATAACGTATATCTGAAATTTACTTGTTTTAAAATTGAAATCAAAATCCCCATGGTAACAGCTATGGTGAATTGTCTAAATTGGGTAGAAGGCGAGTGTAGGGTGTTTATAATAAGTAGCGGTATAGAGATACTTTCAAGGTGTCAAGTCGGGGAAAGGTGGGGTGTCAAAAATGAAACGGAAGATGTATTGGCCATCGTCTAGTTTGCTTGTCTATGGAGATTTATTTATTTATTTTATTTTATTTTATTATGAAAGGAATTGTGCATATAAAAAAAAAAAAAAAAAAAAAGAAAAGGAAAAGAAAAGAAAAACTTTCGTAACGTTTGTTTTTGACGACTTCATAAAGGGTTATCTTATATGTAAGGTATTTAAACTACTAATTTAGGCTATGGATTATGAAGTGTGTTATGTAGTATGCATGTTTGTAGTTAATTATTCCTACTATGAATCTGATGATTGGGCTATTTGTTAAACAAGTTATATAAATTTTTTTATCTAATAATTCAAACCAAAAATCTGATGATGCCTACAAAAACCGTTAACTCGTGTCTATTATTTAATAGATTATTATTATTTAGAAGTTTAATAATGTGTAATTTTTCATGGAGGCTCAAAAGGGCATGGGTCATCCCAAGCTTTACATATTCTAGCCTTGTCAATAATTTTCCATTTAACTTTTTGGTGTCTTATTTGTTTCCTTCAGGTGCCAAAAATATTTTGATAGTGAAGTCTGATTTCGTTTGTTTATATTATTAAAGGAGCACTTATGCTGCCTCCATCTATCTTTAAAATTATTCTTCGTGGACCCAATGTATATCATATTAGTGCTAGGGCTCTCTGTGGATGAAATAGTACATTGGTATACCACAGAATTAATACAACATTTATTTTCTAATGGGCAGTCTTCTGGGTATATATATATATGTATGTGTGTGTGTGTGTGTCATCCACAGCTCATCAATGTGGCTAGACATATGATTGCCTCAAACCAGAATCAAAACCCAACCGATTGGCATCAGTCGGAGATTTTCCTCTTAGCTATCATCTCCCAGCAGAGGAAGATTAATTTTTACATATTTATTTTTCGAATAAACATGCCAGTGATTCAGAGTACTGAAGTCATAGAAGAGATTTTGCATCAGTAGAAATCACTGTTTACAAATTGGTGCTTTTCCCTTGAAAGTGCTCAACCGAATTTTATTTTTCCAGGGGCATACATATGTGTCATTCACAGACAGACTGTTTAGCTGTATCACAGCTCATCAGGGTGGTTAGACATCTGATTGCCTCAAACCAGGATCAAAACTCAACCAAGTTGTGTTGATGTATGTTAGCTCTATTACTGACATTGAGTGTTTTCCAATAAGAACCTTGTATATATAAAAATATATATATATAATTGCATATACATAAATTTATATATATATATACACTAGCAGCATGGCCCGGCGTTGCCCGTGCTTGATTCAAAAATCGTACGACTCATACAGCAATCGCTATCACTTGACTTAAAATATTTTTGCCCTTCCTTGCCTTTAAAGGAGTGCCCTTTGCCGTGCTGATGTTGCTACATGCCTTACTTCTTGCCTATCTCATACTGCGAATTTTTTCTAAGCTCTATACTAGACATTAAATCTGTTACGAAAAAAGAACTATACAAAATGAACACAAAACGATCAGCTTTAAAAAAGGACTCGTAACTGGAAAAACCGAATGAAAAAACAATGTTAACAACAAATACTTTTTCACACCCAACCCATTTTCCTGAAATATTGAGACTGGTCATACAACTTGGGCGGGGTTGTTGTTGCCCTTGTTTTGTTAACCCGGTACTTTGGAAACCATACAAAAAATAGGAAAAATGGAATGGAGTTTGCGTATCACTGGCTGATGACTTCAGTGTAGACCACATTTTTAGCTTTTTGCGAGGGTGAATAAAGGAACACATCCTCGCGCCTGCCGACTCGAGAGAAGGCAACGTAAAGTTGGCCGTGTGAGAAGCACTGCTCCTCTAAGTGTACACCAGTGACAGACAGCGTTTGTCTTTGGGCCTTATTAATTGTCATAGCAAAACAGGGTGCGACTGGGAATTGAGATCCTCTGAAAGTGAAGGATACTTGTGCATCTGATGGATAAAAATGCATCCTTGGGATAAGCACTTGCTCCCCTTTACCGCAGCCAGTTATAATTTTGGCCTCAATAATGTTTGGGTGTAGGGCCTGAGTATCCATCCTGGTCCCATTACAGAATTTCGGTGGACGCAGGTTTCTAAGCAACATAAACGGGATCCCCACTTTAAGTTCCAGAATGTGAGGAGGGAGACCAGCGGGGTGGAGGCTGTTTAAGAAATCCACTGGAAAGTTCGCCATTTCAGCGAGGTCTGGGGGCAAGAATGGCCGGCCTAGCAAGCCACTCAATATTGTTGTAGTTGGTTTGAAGATCAGGAAAAACTGATTCCCTGAGTGTTGCTGGCGTTGTGACCACTGTAGACAACCCTTGGACGTTTACAAATCCATTAGTGTCCGCTGGAATAATACCTTCGCCAAGGGCTAATAATGAATTCGAAAATTCGGCGGACCCAACATCGCCAGTTAGGTGTGCACACATGTTGGTGGTAAGGTGCAGTTGTCTAACAGTGGGCCAAAGTTGTGACGATTTCAAGCACGCTCGAATAGCGTCGGCCTTTGTCCCTTTAGGTACAACGGGGAGGGTCTGGCGAAAGTCACCGGATAGAAGGACAGTCATACCTCCCATAAGGTCATCGGAGTTTCGAATATCCTTCAGAGAACGGTTTACAGCCTCGAGTGCAGTTTTGGGACTGACAGTGCCCTCATCCCAGACGATGAATTTACATCGCCTGAGTACCTCCGCTAGATCTGATTGCTTGGCTATACTGCATACAGCTGTTTCTGCCTTCATCAGGTCAAGCGGAAGTTTAAACGTTGAGTGCACTGTTCGGCCACCCGGTAGTAATGCGGCAGCAATGCCTGAAGACGCTACTGCTAGCGCCACTTCCCCATGGCGCCGAATTTCTGCAAGAAGCAGTTTTGTAACGAATGTTTTCCCGTTCCCCTAGGCGCGTCCAAGAAGAAAATTGATCCTGTATCCTGCCTGGTGGATGCAAGAACCGCATCGTAAGCGGCCCTTTGGTCTATGAGAGGTTTTGGCTCATTTGTTGTGGCATAGGCGTTGAGCTCCTCAACAGAGTAGGATGTCTCCCGCACAATCTCAGGTGAGAGACTGGAGGAAGCCACACGATCTGGCGTTGGAAGCCCAATAGCGGCGAGAGATCCCCCCCATTTCAACAAACAGGTTCTCAATGATTATAAGCGTCCTGTTGTAAATTTCATCGTTGAATGTAAGAGCCATTGTTGGACACAGTAGTTGCGTTTCTCTGAGTATGTCTTCGGACAAAAAGTCCTTGTATTTGTCCCAAAGTGATTTGGAATCACTGGGTTCGCACATTTGTAAGATTGTGGTGAAGAGGTGACACAAAGCAGAGGGAATTTTTAAAAGAGCTCCCTCAGCCATTGGCTGTCGTCTTCCAAAAGGCCGAGATGGAGGCAGGCCTCACGAAAAGTGTCACGTAAAACTCTATTAATCGTCCGTAAGTTATTTTAGCTCGTTGGACCACTAACTTCGTGCAAAAGGAGTCGCAAGTAAAAACCTTCCTGTCGCGATGAGGGAACCGTGAATACCCTTCCGAGTGTGGCGTCTTTTTTGACGCCTGGATAGCCCTCGACGTTGGCCCCGCACTTCCGCCGAGCCCAGGTGTTCTTTTTTGTCTACACGTAGTATGAAGGCACGTCTGGGTACAATAGAGTCTTAGCAAACTCGTCCTGTCGACAAAGTTTGAAGAACGGTGTAAGCGTTGTGTCTTTGGTACGCGCAGCCACATCCATTGCTGTATCCGCAAAAAAATAACGAAGTTCGTCGTTTTCTTGCTGGGAAGCGTTCGTGGATGAGGAAGCTGAATATGTGCCAAGGGCCCTCTGTGCTACTAATGACGCGCCCTGCAAGGAAGTCCTGAATTTCGTCTACGGAACCGTCCTGCCTAATACCAAACATTGCAGCATCAGTCCCTTTGTTGATGTACGTGCATACATACTTGATGGAGCGAACTGAATGGCAATATTCGACATTGATGTGCGCATTGAACGCTTTTGTTAGCAGGGGACAGTATGGCACTACCCATCTGTTACCCACTTGGTGGCCCTTTACCACGGCTGTAAATCCTCCCTCAGCGGGACTCCTTCGCCGGTACAGTGGATAGCCATCGCTCCCAGTAATGGCTTCGCTCACGAAATCTCGTGGGTACTGACGGGTGCATTTGCCGTCCTTGTTGTGACAGCTGGTGTAATTGTAATGCGACCCGCAGGGACCATGAATCATGTTGGTTGTCACTATTTCGTACAATTCAGGGTCAGCCCACGGATCAGGAATTTCATTAGAAATAAGATGATCGATTTCTGTGGCCTCAATCTTGTCGCACAGCCAAATTAGTATATGTGCGTGAGGCAGGCCGCGTTTCTGCCACTCAATAGTGTGCATGCGACAACAAACAGCCCCCAAAACCTGGCCCTTTGTAATCACATCCATTAGCTTTCCCAACTTCAGATTGTAAACGCGCGCAATGAGGTCTGGACGGTCGTAGGCCGATTGCCCTGGCATAAGTTCTTTAGCAATTGTGTACCATGTTGGGTTACACGTGAAAGTTATGAATAGGTCTGGTCGGCTGTATTACGAACGTATGTCATCGCGTCTTGCGTCCTCGCGTGCATGTACCGTGGACTGCCTGTGAACGCTGCAGGTAGTATGCACATCTTGCCTATATTGCGTGGATCAGCGTCATTTCGTAAAGCATCACGGAGGTGAATGGAAGAGTCGCAGCGCAACTTGGTCTGATTCAGTCTGATGTTTCGGATTCCATCTTAGCAGCCATGAATTGATGGAAAAGTTGCCGGCTTCGATGAAGATGATGGAATGCACCCTCATGTACCATCAATGGGTAGGTGTAGAAAGCCCTGCAAGACACTGTTTTTAAGGTGGACCCATTTTGCAGAATGCCAAAGTGGTACCCATCTTCTCCGTAAGGGAAGAGAAGTGGGTATTGCAGTGCATCGTAGGGCCGGTGCGTTTCACTGATTCTTCGGAGCCCACTGCCGCGCGATTCGATAACAATGTCACGTCTGTTGTGCTGATCACCGCTGACAATGACGGAAACTTCGTTACTTGCGGGAGCATTGTAACGACGTTTGTGCTCTCCCTGAGGCCGTTTGTCAGCATCAATTACAATAATGAAATCAGAAGAAGTGTTATTTTCGAGAGCATACTTAAAACTGCGGACATAGCTGTTTATCTCGTGGGGCATTTGTTGGAGACACATTATGATATCCCTGCGAGGATGATTGTCCTGGCCTGTATCGTTCTCGGGAATAATGCCTATGCGGGCATCTGCCTGTTGATTGTAGTCAGCTATGAAGTATATTTGTAGAAAGGCCGAATCAATGGAAGTTTCCGGCAAAAGAGACCCAATCCGGTGGTAAACCTGACCTTGAACCTTGAAGGTGGGATTCCAACCGACTTCGCGGAAGGCATTACCATCAAAAGAGGTCATCTGGAAGGCACAATTGTACTGTCTGATTTTTGCGAGGAAATATTTGGAGTCTGGACTGGAACCCTCCAACAGAGCTTTTAACGGAGCAGGTAGCTCTTGAAAAGGTGGCAACTGTAAGCTCTCCAGGCCATTTTTTGGCATTGCAATGCCCACAGACAACTGACATGGATCCTATTTGAAGGTCTTTGCAACCGGAAAGCCTCAAAACTGACTCATAGTTGAATGCCAGCTTAAACCAAAACTGCTTTGGTGGGCTACAGAGCCCTCTCTGTGCATGGCGGCGCTTGTTAACAGTCTGCAACCTTTCACGCCTTTCTGTAGGCCCTTCTACAGATCGAGCAGCGGAAGTTGAAATTGCATCGCGTTGCCGCCTTGTGCGCTTTTGCGCGGAACTTTCCGACGCCCTTGCAGCAGAAGTTGCAGCGGCGTAGGCTGCATGGCGTGCGATTTTCTCAGCCATGGATTCCTGGGACCGTCGAATGGACGTTGCCGCAGCTTTCGCTGCGTTACGTGCGGTTTTCTCAGCCGTGGTCTCCTGGGACCGTCGAATGGAAGTTGCAGCGGCGTCGGCTGCATTGCGAGTCGCTTTTCGATGTGGGCTCTGTCGAGACCGCAAAAGCGCTTGTGATGAAGCCGCTTTTTTGTTGTCTTGCAAGCGTTTAGGTAGTTTCCTCTTACTTTTCAACGAATATGTGTAAACTGATTTGCAGTACAAACGGTAGTTACGCTCACCAAGCGTTTCATGTGACAAAACATACTGCCTCCGTTGAGATTGACTGGAAAGCCTCAAAGCGGCCTCTACCTCGGTTTCCTCCTCCCGCTTTCTTTTTGCCGCAGAGGCTCTTTTAGAACGCCTGCTAAAGTTGCCTCGCCATTTTATTTTGGCACGCTTAGCAAAGCTGCCGGGTCGGTCATCGCCACGGCACTCAGAAGTCTGCAAAGCAGAGGTTGAAGTAGACGCCAGCCGCTTCTCCCCCAAGGAGGCGCACTCAATGGAATCCTGCTCCCGTTTCCCCTCAGCCGGTGTGGCTTTTTTAGAACGCCTGCTAAGGTTACCTCCCCTGGTTGTTTTTGCAGCCTTTGCAGAGCTGCCGGGTTGGTCATCGTCACGGCACGCAGAAGAGTGCAAAGCAGAGGTTGAAGTAGACGCTATATATGGTGACTCCCAATGGCCTCCTTATAAATCCGGTCGATTTTCGCTAAAAACTGACATGCGGTTCAGGCGCAATCTGGGCGTATCGGTTTCTGGGTTTTTTCGATTTTCCGTGCTGTTTAGGGGTCCGTGGTCATGAAACTTCTGGACATCACTTCTAATGGTAGACTCTAAGAGGGTGTCAAATTTGGTTTAAATGCGATCATTCCTTCTGTAAGCAGATTTTTTCGATTATCGATTTTTTCGGAACCTGAGTCCGAACTCAAAAATCGGGCTCTGTCATGTCCTTACGGCAGCCATTTGCAAATTTGTGGTGAAAAACCGCATCGAAATCGGGTGAGAAATGCAGCCCACGACAGACACACAGACAGACAACATGAGAAATATAGATAGATAGATAGATAGATATTACCAGTAATTTTAGAGTATCTACTGTATTTAAAAATAAAAAACTGTCTTCAGTGGGAGGGTCAAGTAAATTAACTGCTCTCTTGAGTGGTATACACATTCTGATACTTACCGATCACAGGTATCTGTCCCTGTCCTAGTAGTATCATAGCTATGACTAGTTTGGACCAGCTAAGGACCAGCTTGGACAAGCTAAAATCAGTGGCCCGAGTGAAGATGCTCGGTTCCCCATATTAAAAACTGACCTTGTGTCACAAGCTGACTCAGTGTGTGTGTGTTGGGGGGTGGGATGTTTCAAGTAAATCCACCACTCTCTCGAGTGATATACACATTACCAGTCACAGGGATCCATTCCTGGGCTGGTAGTATCACAGCTACGACTTGCTTGGACTGGCTCTGACCAGCTTGGACCAGCTATGACAAGCTATGACCAGATAAGACCAGCAGCCCGAGTGAAGACACTCGGGGTTCCATGTTAAAAACTGACCTTGTGTCACAACCTGACTCAGTGGGGGTCAAGTAAATACAAACTGCTCTTTTAAGTGGTTTCCACACTCTGATACTTACTGGGCACAGGAATCTGTTCCTGTGCTGGTAATATCACCAGCGGCCTGAGTGAAGACGCTTGGTTCTCCACGTTAAAAACTGACCTTGTGTCACAACCTGACTCAGTGGGAAGGTCAAGTAAATCAACTACTCGCTTGAATGGTGTACACATTCTGATATTTACCGGTCACAGGGATCTGTCCCTATACTGGTAGTATCACAGCTATGATTGGCTTGGACTGGCTCTGACCAGCTTGACCAGCTATGTCCAGCTAAGATCAGCTCTGACTAGCTTAGACCAGATCTGACAAAGGACATAGTTGCAACTGGGGAAAATTATACTGAGAGGTGCCCAGCTCTGGGGAACAGCTGCTTGAGGCCATGCGCAATCATTGCACCAGAGAGTGCTCGCACCAAGGCCAGTGCAACTGACAGTTATGGGGGTGTGGGCAATTTTTGTTCCTAACCCAGGTGTACGCGCTTAGGTCCCCACCTTAAAAACTGAACTTGTGTCACAACTCGTCTTAGTGGGGAGACAGAGTAAATACCTAGTGTGCAAAATGGTCTCTCGAGTAGTTTGTAACACATTGATACTTACCAGATGAAGGGACTCATACCTGCACTGGTAGTATCATGGCTATGACTAGCTTGGATCAGCTCTGACCAGCTTAGACAAGCTATGACCAGATAAGACCAGCAGCCTGAGTATAGACACTCAGCTGCCCACCTTAAAAACCAACCTTGTGTCACAACCTGACTTGGTGGTGGGGTCACAGAAATTGCTCTCTCGAGTAGTTTGTAATACCCTATTTATCATCTCTCAGTTGCATCACTGTCTTTGGGCAAGAGTGCATTCAGAGATGGCTCCATCAAAGGACAGCGTTACAGCTGAGGAAAAATATATTGAGAGGTGCTTAGCATTGGAGAACAGGTGCCTGAGGCTGCACCCTCTCGTTGCACAAGAGAGAGAGATCAGTGCTTGCACCAAGGCCTGCCTAACCAACTGTTGCAGGGTCTCGGGGAATTTTTGTTTCTAGCCCGGGTGTATGCACTGGGGCTAGATGCACCTTAAAATCTTACCTCATGTCGCTTCTCATCTTAGTGGGGAGACAGAGTAAATACTATGTGTATAAATACTTGAATAGTTTGTAACATGTTTCTTTATCATCTCTCAATTGTATCTCTGTCTTTGTGTAGAATGTGCTTGGGGGCGGTGCTGTCAAAGGACAGAGTTGCAACTGAGAAAGATTATACTGAGAGGTGCCTAGCCCTGGGGAACAGCCGTCCAAGGCAGCACCCTCTCATTGCACCAGAGACAGTGATCGGTGCTCACACCGAAGTCAGTGTAACCGATGACTGCAGGGATTCAGGGAATTTTTGTTCCTAGCCCGGTTGTACGCGCTCGGGCTCCCCACATTAAACTGACCTTGTGTCACAACGTGACTTCCTGTGTGTTCAAGTAAATATCAAATTACTATAACATAGAACTGGGGCTTTTCAATCTCAGAATTTGTGGGAGAATTGAGCTCCAATTTCTCATTTATTTATATAGAATCCATAATATAGGTTTTACTTAATTAGCTATTATTTTTCTCAAACTCTTCAAATGTTGAATGTATAACTAATTCTGATTTCTATTCTCCCATCTTTACATTATATTAATTTTATCTCATGAATTGCCCCCTGTTCTGTCACCCATGAAATAAAAATAATTTGTAGAGAAAATAAGGATCTACTTACATCAAATTGTCTTTAAATTAAGTGGCAACTGAAGAATTATAGTTGAACTTGAAGGTAAGCTTAAACATTAATTCAATACTTAAATGTATCAATCAACTTTGAGTTCTGTAGTTTGCATCTACTCCTCCCTAGCTATTGTACTGATGGTCAAACCAAGAGCCTCCATAGGAGCTAGCTTAAATGCCACCTGATAGGGTGGCTTTTAAGTGGGAGCGGAAGTGCTGTTTGTACACACACACACACACACACATTGTAATTTATATATAAGATATAAAGGAAGATCTATCTATCTCTCTCTATATATATATTCATATATATATTATTCCTTTAGAGAGAGAGAGAGAGAGAGAGGGATTTTAGTGGGAAGGGCTAATGTTGTTATACAAAGAACTACATAAACCAAATTGACAATTAACAAAGAATTTTTCGCTTTTATTTTGTGTGCAAGAACATTTCCATTTTTTTTCTTCTTAAGACAGTTTTTAGAAGTATCTAAATAAGAACAGTAATAATAATAATTATTATAATTATAATCCAGAAGAGATTGAAAATATTCAAATAAATTTCAACAGGATCCTAACTTATTAAAAGTATTAATACCCACCAATTGATAGGTACAATGAGTTAATGCACATTCAAGAAAGAGAGACTGAAATATTGTCCAATGGAATTTATCATATATTTATGCAAAAATATTCAATAACAAAGAATTATGTTTAATCATTTGTTAAATAAATTGGAGCAAAATGATTATTCTACTGTATTTGGCTATAGGCCACAGATGTCCAAGACCCAAGGGCTTGGAAATCTAGCCAGAAATGAGAAAAGGTTTAATTTCATAATATGAGTAGTTGTTGAAAAGATCTCGGCTAAACCAAGAAGGGGTTAAAAAAAAAAAAAAAAAACTAAAGAAAAAAAACAAAATAATAAATCTGATGTTTGGCCAGGAAGTGAATCAGGCTAAGAACTTTTCAGCACTCCCTCAAACATTTAATATAAAAAAATATAGCGTAATCATGCTTATCTGATCAAAATTTCCTATTGTACTTATCTGAGAATACTAACTGTATCGGATATAAAATGAACATTTCTAATATAAATCTTTGTCATATATATATATATATATATATATATATATATATATATATAAATAAATAAGTAAATAATGTCTTGAACAATAAAAAAAAATGTTAAAAATCAAAATTTCAGACACACTGGATTGAATATTAATATTTTTGTTTTATTTTAAATTATGGTCCTTCAATAATTTTGGCCATCATCTGGAGAAAAAATTCCTGCTTGTTAGTAGCAGTGAACTACAGGGGTGAATGACTGTCTCTGAAGAAGGTGAACATTGCCTGTAGTTTTCATTTGTTCTTTTTATCATTAATTTTTGGTCAGTCCTTGTATTGGTTAAAGGGCTTCTTTCAAGTTCTTTTAAGTAAAGGCTGAGAGATTCATGAGTCTCTGATTTATCTCCTTTGTCATTCTGACAGTTTTATTGGTTGCTGGGAAGGGGATGTGTGTGTTATCTGTATGTTATCTTAGTTTTTTTTTCTGGTGGTGGTGGTGGTGGGGGGGTGATGTGTGTGCATATGTGGAAGATATCAACACCTCTGCAAGCATATCTGTCTTGTGTGGTTGAGAAATACGAGTGTTGGGGTTGATCTATGGGATTATATATTTGTTGTGGAGTTATTTCGCAGTGGAAGCTTGTATTTGTACTAAATCGGTCCTAAAATAGGTTCAACGTACAAAACGTTAGGAACTTGATATAATAGGTATTACGCAGTGTAATCTTGTTGTGGTCGCTGACTACTTTCGTATTCGACTAACTGTCGACTACTGTCATCCGACATTGACTGACCCTTGTTTCTCTTACTACTCCTACTTATATTAGGTGGGAGAGTCTATTAACTAGAGAATAGGTGTGTTTCACCATAACACCCCCCTCCTAAAACTTTACTCTGTAGGAGTAAAACAGTTTTCTTTATTTATTTTTTTTTACAGGAAATATGAAGAAAAAACAAAAAAAAAAAAAATTCATTTTTTATAGCAACATCATAGCATATCTTCTACATTTTGGATCCACTTTTAAATGATCAGTTGCCTTTCTTTTTCTCCTGGATCGGCATACCTCAGGTAAAATCGTTGCAGGCAAAAAATTAAAAATTAGTAAAGAAACTTAAGTTTCTTTACTAATTTTTGGCTTCGGTATTTAAACTTTCTACCTTATAACAGAAGGAATTGATCAGTAGATCCCATAATTGGAATTCTGTTATCCAATTCGTACCAAGTAAGTTTGTGGTATTTTCTATGACAAATATGCTTTTCGCGTTTTTTTTTTTTAACATGATGTTTGTAACAAATTCCCCAATAAATTGTATTTTTTCTCCCGTCACTGACCTCGCGATTTTCTTTGTCTTCATTAAAGTTGGTTTCCCCAACTTCTTCCACGTATGCAAATTTATGATAGATAAATCTGAGCCAGTGTCAAGTTGCATTTTTATATTTTTATTACTTATTTCGACGGTAACAAATTTTCTGGTTATTCCGTATTTTACCTCGTTGGACTTTAATTTTCTTATTTAATTGTCTTTATTTTTTGACCTGCAATGCATGCTTTTATGACCCACTCTTTTACAATTGAAACATTTTTTTATTCCTGAAAAATCGCAATATCTGTACCAGTGTAGTTCACTGCAAGCAAAACATGACTTCGGGAGTTTTTGTTTATTTTTCTCTGGTATTTCACTTTTTGCTTGATAATCCACAATTTTAGAATTCTTTTTGGTAGACTGACTTTCTTCTTTGTAGCGTATATTCCTTACATGCGAAAAGCCAGACTGTTCTATCTTTTTTGAATCTTTCTTTACGCTAACGTATCTTGTGCAGTCTTCTGCCAATTTCTGTACAGTAATACTTGGATCGCTTTCCAATTTTGCCAGTACTAATTTTCTCAACTCTGCGTCTCTTTCCAATACCAGCCCCTGAACAAACACCAAGCACTTAAAATTGTCTGTGCTTAACTCTGCCAGCTGGAATTCTTCATAATGCTTATTCACATTGGCTGCATATGTTATATAGTCTTGTTTGTCATCTTTCATCAGATTCAAACATTTCCACCTCTTGTGAAACAGAGATGTCTTTTTACTAAATAATTCACTTAATATATTTACCACCTCGGTAAATGTCAACTCGCTAGTTTTTTTTAGTAAAATGTAGTTTACCAATTTGTTAAGCTCAGCAGTTCCTAATTTGCTTAACCTTCTTTCCTTCAGACCACGAGTGGAATACTTGGAAGAGAATGTTGAGTTTTTGTTCAAGATTATTCTTATCCCAAATATGTCATCAGCATTCCCCCCGCCCCATCATCAGTATGACGTTTTCTATTAACAGATTCATTTGGATTTAGAGTGCTTAAGTAATCTCAGCTTTTAAATGTTTCATCTGTTCAAATGTGTGCTTGTCCACATGCAGAGCATCTTAGGAAAAGATTAAATAGACTGGTACCCTCATTTACTCCTTATGAGGTTTGAAATGATTTGGAGTTTGGTTTTTCACTAGACATATGACATTGTGGGTTGATATAATTCCTGTATCACATCAAGACATTCAGAGAAATCAGAGAATGGAAGACAGTTTCTGATGAATGAGAAAAGGAAGTATATATTGATGTGGTCGTACATTGCAGTGAGATCAATATAGCAGGTATACAGTTATTTAATGTGGGTTGTTTCCTATTTTTTTTCTACATATTGGAATTCAATAACACACCTTTGTTTCACATGCACTTTCATGATAAATTCCATTTTGCCAGATTGCTATTTGTAACAAGGCAAAAACAAGTATGGGTTATTGGCAGGATGGTTCAACCACTACTGCCTTATAACAACATCTGTCTCTGATATCATGGGCTAACATAAAAAATATGAAAATATAAGACACTACTTTGTGGAGTGACCCTTATATTTTTAATTCTGGAAGTAAGTTTTCAGTAGATGGTGATTAGTCCTTTTGATATTTATATTGGGCAGAGAACATTAACACATTAAAATCAGATTAGCAGAGAATAAGGATTTAATTATTTGCCAATTCACTTTTTAAAATGAATAAATAAATAATAAATAATTTACTCTATCTGTAGATATACAAAATAAAAGAAATGGATAGATACATATTTCAGTATTTTCAAATGCAGAAGAAACACCATGAACAAAAATCAGAATTTAAAATAAAATCATTGCTTTATTTCATAATGAATTAAATACAATTTGTCAATTCACTAAATCAAATTTTTTCATGTGCAAGGTGATAGAATCAGAGATTTCCTTAGCATTACGGTTTTGTCCATAATAATCCACAAAATCTCCATTTGGATTGAGCAGATACATTATTATTGTGTGATCCACCTGAAAAAAAAAAAAAAAAAAAAAAAAAAAAAAAAAAAAAAATGATTTCAATTGTACAAAAATTAATGTTCATATTTAGCTTTATTGATGAGTGAAAATTAAAATTGTAAAATTAATTTTGACTTGAAATCAGAAGACTCCATATTGAAACCATTTTTTAAAATTTATTCAGCAAGTTTTTATATATATATATATATATATATATATATATATAAATAAGAATCATATCATGCTGGTACTTAAACAATTCACAAACAATTAACATTTTCACTTCTGCATTGTTGCCTTGCTGTATTGGCCAGTTTTGAGCAAAATCAGAAATAGCCATTTACAGGAAATATGACTATAAAAACACTGACAGTGATTTCTTCTGGGTTCTACCATTTTGGTTTCAATTGGATACTTAGCAGTACAGACTGAGCTAAAAGAAACACCTAACACACAATATAATAAAAATATGTCACAAAAGAGGATTAATTGTACATTACTATATTTATGCCAGTGTGTAAAGTTAGTGTCAGTTAGTTTAAAAACACAAATGCTATAGGCCAACTTTTCACTGTGTTTGAAAATATATATATATATATATATATATATATATATATATATATATGTGTGTGTGTGTGTGTGTGTGTTGTTACCATAGTACAGCACTTCCATTGTTTTATTTTGCCCTTGTTTATCATCCCCTTTTTAGTTTAGGGGCATGTTTAGATTGTCATCGTTTTGATCACTTCCTGTATTATTATTATTATTATTATTATTTGAACCTTTGCCTAAGCTTGCTGACATTTATACATCTATTTTACTGTTGTATTTGCCCATGTAGGACTGTTCACAATATGTTGCTACATTCTTTACCCATTACCCCACCTCGGGTCTCACTTATGTTCAATTTTCGTTATTTTTGTTACATTTCTTCTTCCTCTGTCTGTTATGTGTATTTATTTCTTTTTCTAGATTTAATCATTTTGGCTTTCAGTAAACCTGCTGATGAACAGGACATTATCTTTTTCACAAAGTGTTTATCCAAATGTTTGAGGTATACACATATGTGAGATGGACATGTACCAGGAGGCAGAACTATATATACATACATACATATATTTATTAATATAAAAGTGAACATTGAAGTCAATACCCAGAGGTGACAGTCTGTTTCATGCTAAATGCTATTGTCAGGTCATGTCTATCATCTCTGGGTGTTGACTTCAATGTCCACTTTTATATTTACATAGGCTCTATCCCTGATATTGAGCACTTTAACCTATAAATATAGAATACTTTAAAACTATATTTTATCATCTTATATATATTAATAAATATACCTATTTTTCCTCACTAGTAGAATGACTCAGAGTTGTGCACAACTCGGGGTCATGCTATTAGGAAAAATATGTATATGTATTAATATATAGCTCTTTTATATGACATCAGGCACTATTTTATTAACACCAGAACACAATGTGTGATATTATATATTCATTTATATATATATGTTAGCAGCAGGCAATACAAGTTTCATAAATATGTATTTGTGAAAGTAATAACAAAGGTTAGGCAAAGTAATTACAGATGAGACTGAAATAATTTATTTCTGCCAGATCATTGCTAGTATCATGAATTTGATTGTTATTAAGGCACCCCACCTTGCTGTTGTGGTCTTGTGTCAGATTAAATTAGGCTTAGTAAATATCCACAGCAGATGTTGTAAATGAATAATCCAACATTTTGCTCATTATAATTTCAGGTTGAACCAGTAGTTTTTGCAAAATAAAACTACATTAGGGAATGCTTTTCACTTTCCTTGCAATAATTTTACCTGTTTTATACTTCATTGTCAAATATTTTTATATTAATCTTTTATCATATTAAAAGAAGGCAATTAAATTTTTATTAAGGAGTAAAACTGATGTAGTTATCCTTTCCATGTATTTTAGATTTTGTAAGCTTACAAAAATACCAAGAAATCAGAAATTTGTAATGCACCGATCTTACAAATAGAGATGATCTGCATGCCTTGGAAATCATTATTTGTTTGGCCTCAACCAACAACTATGGATACTAGATACAAATACATAACTATCTTGGACACTCAGCATTGTGAAGGAACATGACTGTAGAAGAAAAGATGACTTTTTTGTGTGGCAAAGCAAGCACGTATATGCCTGGCATGCAAAACAAGTGAAGGAAAGGATAAATATGGCTGCCCTGACACACTAATTTAAGAAAAAGAGTCTTGGAGCTAGAAGAATTCGTGAGAGTGGGTGAATGTATGCAAATTTTTTCGCAAGATCAGCGGGGCATAAAAATCATGATGTGAGAGAGTATAGTAGAGTTAGCTTTTTTTTTTTTTTTTTAACGTGGTGCTGCTTGTACGGAAAGACTGTCAGTTGGAAAGAGATTACTTGGATCAGTTGCACACAATGATGACTAGGAATGCATATGGAAGCCATTAAAAAATGGTAAAAGATTTATTCTACAATTTGAAATCACCTCAAAAGATGTTAAATTTCATGAAACAAGATGGGATTTGTGTTGTCAATATTTTTTGATTAAAATAAATTGGAATTTTATTGATGCAAATAATTTACATCAAAGCTTAAAAAAAAAAAAAAAATCTCAGATTAAGTGTTGACATCTATTATTTTTTTTAAATAATTAGTCAAAGAGAATTCATAGCTTATTGGAAAAGTGTTTATTTATTTATATAACCCCAATAAGTGCTGGTGTATCTCAAAGGTATCAGAAAAGAATAGGATAGTCAATGCATAAAAATAAAATTTTAGTAATTGGTTTTATTTCTGAATATTGGTTACTTGGGGTTTTATAGCATTAAAGATTTTTGTGAAGGTATTCACTTCAAAATTCCATCCAATCACACCAGAATGTAGTCTTGTTTTATTGCCTATTGCTGAGTGACTATGAAAAAGTGAATCCATGTGAACATTTTCATTCTCAGTACTGTATTCATCAGGGATTGTTGTGTTTGCTTTTATGGGTGATGGTAGTGTTGAAATATCAATAATGTTTAACAGTCAGTAAAGACAAATGATTTGTCCCATTCATTTGCTAATATCTTGCCTTATAGATATTTGGTAACTTATTTTCTGCTATACAAGAGAAAAATAACATCTTCTCCTGTTTATATGCATTGTTTTTTCAGAACTGTTTTACTGTTGGAAAAAATAATGTCAGAAATTAGTAATTTTTTTTTACTATGACAACTATTTAGATTAGTTCTAAAATGGGATAAAAATCAACTTCATGGTAGTGAATAAAATTAAACACAAGCAGAGTGATTACAGTCAAACATTTTGATGAGTGATATTTTTAATAAAAAAATACATGAATAGAAATAAACAAAAAATGTCTTGTTTTCACTGATGTCCTTTTTATTTTTGCTAATCTCATAACTTTACAGTTATGCTTGTGGCATTTAAAAAACGGGGAGATAACTCTTACATACGTTTTTTTTTTTTTTTTTTGAGAGAGTTTGAGATGCTGATCTTACCAAGTTAGAAGATTGTGGTATTTCTGTATTAAGTTTTGAACTGATTTAGTCTTTCTTATCAGATCATGAAATAAAAGCCATCTTGAATGGCCATTCTAGATCTTTTTTGAATTAATCTCTATCCTTGGATCTATGTTATTCCTAGTTTTTACCAATGACCTTCCTGATGTAATCAGCTCTCAACTCAGTATCTATGCTGATGACAACTACTTACTCTTGTCTTAACAGTAAATATGATCGGTTTGATAAGGTCAAATTGGTAGCTAATCTCAAAATGACCTACAATCTGTTGTTAACTGAGGCATTAAATGGCTTGATAATTTTATTGCTTCCAAAATGAAACTGACTTTTTAATCTGAGAGAACCATGGAGGGTGACTCATTGCATTTTCAGGCTAATGCTTTTCAATGACAGGAAATGGAAGGATTATATTGAATCAAGTACTAGGGCTGCTGCTAGTAAAGTTGGTTCACTGTGTAGTGCTAGACAATTTTTCTTGCACATTTGTAAGTCTATGATTTGCCCATGCATAGAATATTACTGAAACATCTGGGCTAGTTCATCAGCTGTGTATTTATAGATTCTAGATAAAATACAAAGAAGAATCTGCAATGTCATTGGTTCTGAACCAGGCATCTCAGCTTCTTCTTGTCATTTTCCCACCACCATAATATAGCTTCCTTGTACCTTTTCTCTAAATATTTTCATGGCAATTGTTCTCATAAGCTTTCCTCTTTGGAAACTAGACTTTATGAGTTTAAGTGCAGTACTAGATTGCCAGCAAGGTCTCATCATTTTACAATTAAAATGGCTGGATGCAACCATAGGTTCTAGGCAAACAGTTTCTTCTATCATACTTTTTGCTTGTAGAACTCTCTTCCAGCTTCTTGTTTTCCAATCAAGTTTGATCTTCAAAAACTTAAATGCATTGTCAATCTTTATCTTCTGTCTTTAATTCTAGTTCTTTATTGTTCTCTCCTCTAAGTTTTTTTATTCACAGATTCTCTCGCACTCAGTTACCCACTTGTGTCTGGGGGCTTTATTGCCTTGCTTGGGGTAAAATGATTAACAAAAAAAAGAAAAAGAAAGAAAGAATACATATCAGTGAAATGAGCTACTCACTCTTGCAGTGTGCAGAAAGACTTTTTCCAGGTTTCATAATAAAAAAACTCCCTTTGACTCTCACTAACCAGAGAGAAAAAAGGTAGTCAGTTTCTTCTGTCTTGTAATAAATGCCTGGAATCCATTTCCTTCTACCAATAGAGTCGTGGTATGAATTCTAGTCAAACAATCCAACAACATGTGCCTCCTGCTCTTTAAGCACTTTTTATAGATTGAGTGACAATTAAAAGTTGCGTATGTTAAAAGAGATTCTTGTGAAAGTCTATCTGACTTCGAGATCTATCTGTTTTAACTATAAATTTGTAAATTACTGGTTAGACAAGCAATAAAGAGCCAAAGAAATGAATCCTTCTAACATTGAGCAAAAAATGGCACTAAGAACATTTGTATCAACTTCATGTCTCTACAAATATTTTCATGGTAACTGCTCTGACTAGCTTTTTTCTCCTGGTCCCACCCTTTTACTGTTGAAATAGCTAAATGCAATGGCCACTTCTACTCCAACAGTTTCTTTTCTTGCACTTCCCACCTGTGGAACTCCCTTCCATTTATTTGCTTTCCTGATAATCTTCTAAATTTTAAATGCCACATCAATTGCCATCTTGTCTTCTTGAATCCCATTCATCTTTTGTCCTTTCCTCAATCATCCCTATTGTCTTCTTTTTCACTTTCACTCCCTGTAAACCCATGTGCACTAGTGACATTCCCACCTTGCTTGGGGTGAAATGATTAAAAAAAAAAAATTAAATTGTTTGCATCAGTTCTCATAAGTCAGTAACACTTGAAAATTCTTTAAATAATGTTCTTGAAGAATCAGACTGCAAATACATAGCTTAACAAAGAAAGACTATCAGATGATTCACACCAACCAATGTACAATAAAAAAAAATTGTGATTTTATAAGTGAATTTCTTTGAAGCAAAGAAGAAACACTATTCAGAAAATATGTAAGGAACTTACAATATAGTCATTATCTTCATCTTTTGGTCCAGCACTGTAATAGACTCTATAAGCCCGAGAAGCTTCATGCACTTTGTCTTTATCACCAGTCAATCCAATGAGTTTGGGAGAAAATTCTAAATGGAAAATCAAAGTTCATAACTTCAGTTCATTTTTACAATAAAAAGATGTTAATGGAATTAATCGAGAAAAGGACAAAAAAAAAAAAAAAAAAAAAAAAAGAAGAATATGGAAGTTTATTTTTCATATAGTCATAATGACACCAAAATATACCAAATGATTGTTAATGCTGCTCAATTATACTGAAGAACTTATAAAGTGATTCTCTTATTACTTTCCATGCATATATATATATGCATATATATTTTGTTTCACCTTTTGAAAGTGAAGTCTGAAGATCCAGAGAAAAATAAAATTCTCTGGTGAAATAAATGGAGCCTTAAAGTGGTCTGTTTTTCTTTAAATTATATATATATATATATATATATATATATGTGTACATACACAGAGAAATACACTGTCTCTTTATGAGTGCCTCACCATAATAATACTGAACTCATCTTACCTGAGCTAGAGTCTCAGTGGATACCTAATATTAGGCAATATTAAACTTTTGAAGGTTTAGTTATTGATTGGCTATTGATTTGTAAATCTGACATCATATTTTAATCACAACACTTAAAAGAAAAATGCTAATTTATTTAACTATAACCTTCAAGGAGTACTAATAATCTGAACATGGTGAACCATAATAGAATAAAAAACATATGTAGTGGAAATGTTGACTATATTTAAATCAAAATTTGATTTGAATAAGGAATATAAACTACTAATTTAATATGTTCAATATTTTTAGTGTAAATTTAAATTTAGCAGTAGATGCATTTATTATACTTTGTGACTGAGAGTAAGGTTAGTAATTGTTCAATTAGTGTCTTCTTTCCACATTTGGCAGTAATTTTTAAAGATGTGATAGAAAAAGCTGTAATTTGAAAGGAAATTAACAAGGTATACATTCAGTTGTAGATAGCAGAATAGTCAAAATACCATCAAATGATAGAATTACAAATAATATCCAATAATCATCAGGAAATTGAGACATTAAGGCATTAATGAGACGAAAGATAAAAAAATAATTTACCTTTTACATAGTTTCTTATTGCTTCCACAGTATCTCGTTCAGCATCCACCGTGATGAACAATGGAGTTACAGACTTGGCTTGTGAACTTTCATCTGAAAACATACAACAATAATTCTTTTTAATAATAATAATAATAATTTCACCCCAAGCAGGGCGATAATGCCAGAAGGTTGCAGGGAGTTATGGGGAGTGAAGGACAATGAAAAGAGGTGAAGTGAGGAAAGGATAATAAAGGAAGAGGGTTCAGAAGGATGGATGATGACTGAGGTTGCATTTAAATTTTTGAAGAGTGTAGATGGCAGAGAAGCAAAAAATTGAGAGTTCCACAGGTGAGAACCATAAAATGGTGAGACCTAGTTTCCAATCAAGTAGCACACTTAAATTCATGTGGCCAAGGCACTAATAAAATCAAAATAGTTGCCATGAAAATTTTTGTAGAAAAGACAGAGGGAAGCCATGTCAAATTGGTGAGAAAGTGACTAAAGTCAAGATGCCAGATCAGGATGGATTACATTACAGATCCTGGATTTTGTTAAGAATATTGAGGTATACAACAGGAGCACCAGACCAGATATGGTACCAGTATTCAATCCACAAATGAATGGTTTGGTTTGTTTTATGGCATATCAACCTGAATGGGTTATTTAATGCCAACAAAATTTTTATTTCTGGTAACATTTTTTTTCCAAAAATGTTTTGCTGGTAATATTTTTTTTTTCAAAAATGTATTGGTAGTAATAATGTATTGATGGTAATTTTTTTTATTTTTTTTTATTTTTTTTAAAACAAAAAAGTATTTCTGGTATATACATGTGCAAGATGGATTCTGAGGAGAAACATTTTCTGGCATGACACAACTTTCTTAGCACTAGACATAGCAATTGATCGAATATAGTCACTCCACTTTATTCCAGTGGGAAATGTGATCCCAAGAAAGTGGAAAGTGCTGCTCTCCTGGAGTTTAGCATGAGCCATGCTGAGGCCAGGCATAAAAAGTTCTCTGTGGTGATTAAATGAAAGCAGCTTTATTTTGGAGGTGTTAAAATTTACAAGACATTTCTTGCCCTCGTTAAACATTGGTTGGAATGGTTGGAGTTCCTTTTCAAGAGCAGTTGCCAGGTTTACTTTGTTGGATCTGTTGGACTTAATACTAAGACAGGATTAAATAGTTGTGTCATCTGCATAAATAGCTAGTTGGGAACTTATGACATTGGGATGATGATCAAAAGCAGCATAGGTTCAAATATAGAGTCTTGGGGAACCACTGAATTAGCATGAAATGATTTAGAAGTTGCCCATTTAACATGACCTCCATTACATTACTGGAAGCTAAACCCCCTTTCTGCAGGTGCCAAATTTTGTCCATTTTCAAGAGAAGTCACTACTAGTTATTTCTGAAGTCTTCTTTTAACAGTCAGATGTCAGTTTATCTGGAAAGATACAATGCAGTTATTAATAAGAAGAATTGCAAGATCTCTAGCATCATTCCTTCATAGTCAACCAATGAATTTTTCAGCCCATCCTCATATACCTTGCAGCATTTATCTTAATATTTAATGTACGAACACTTTTCCCAAAATCTGGTTAAACATTAAATTTAAAAAAAATCTTCCTTGGTTATGGCAAGAAGTTTTCAGCACCCCATGCTCGTATGAATGTTCCCAGTACCATTTTTTGAAAATGATTATTGGAATAATATCAGTTTTATTAAGACAATCTTGTGTTTAAAATCATAAGTGAAAGAGAAAGATTAAATTTCTGAAAACTTCAGACTTACCTAAGTAGTCAACAACTTTAATCATTTTCTCAATTTCATCTGGGCAGATATCAGGACAGTGGGTAAAACCAAAATAGAGCAGGACCCACTGTCCAAAAAAGTCTTTGTTGGATCTGGGTTGATTATTGTGGTCCACAAGTGTCCAGGGTCCACCTAATGCAGCTTTACCAAGAAATTTGCTTCTTTCTTGGGCTGATTCTGGAAAAAAAATATTACAACAAACTTCAATAAGATTTTATACATTTTTAACAGAAAAATTATGCTTTGTGATAGGTGTCCTCTTATCTAAAGAAATTATACACACAGACAGATATACTGACAGAAAGTTAAAAATGCAACACCCTGGTGGATAATGATGGGTAGTAGATATTCAGTCTACAGCCATTTGTCATAATATTTGATAATTTAAATATTATTTTCAAATAAATGGCAGCAAGAGAAGATAAGTATGAATTTTGCTTTTCTTTTTGTCTGCATCCACACAGTATAAGCAATCTTTTTGCTGTTTTCTAGAGAAAACATTTCATGAAACAATCTGTGGAAATTCCGTGATTAACTTGTTAAACTCTCTTACAGTAAACTATTTCCTAAAATAGATGTTGCCAATAAGACAAAGCAACAAAAATGATGTGATAAATAGAAAGTTGTCTGGACATAGTTTAAGAGTTATTTCAATTTCTGACATGTGAAAATTAAACACTGAAAGAGCAAGAAAAATGATTCCAAGTTACATAAGAAATTAAGACTATTTAAATAAATTTTATAAAAAAATGTGATACTTACTTAACTCCCTTTCTTGTTTTATATAGAAAAGAATGAGCAAAATGAAACCACCAATGCCAGCCGTTATGAAGAAGGATTTCCAGGTAACTGGCTAAATAATTAAATAAATAAACAAAAAAAAAAAAACACATAAGTTTCATTAAAAAAACAACTGACAAGGTACTGAGGTTAAGTTTTTTTTATTTAATTTTTCTTGTGTTCTTATAATTTTCTTTATTTTTTTTTCTTGGGTTCTTTATGGAACACAAGAAAAATTAAAAAGAAATAAAACTTAACCACAGTACCTTGTCAGTCGTTTTTTTAATGAAACTTGTATAAAAGAGGGATTGCTCCCCAAATACAAAATTTATATATATATATATATATATATAAATATGACAAAGTTGAAAGTTTTCTTGTGACACATTTAATCCTTTAGAACTTCATCAGACAAAATACATCAAAAGAAAATTTATCAACTTTGTCATACAAATACTGTTCTTGATATATAAAATAAATAAATAAAATTTCCCCAATACTGTTCTTGATATATAAAAATATATAACATTATCTCATATACATATGTTGAAATATTAATTTATTCAATAAAAAAAAAATCTTGAAATGTTTGAATCTCTAATGAACTTGAATAAAAGTGATAAGTTATACCAAAGGTAAATCTCTTTGATTTTAGTGCCTACCACTTAAATTTATCTAATTATTTTTTTTATTGTGATCTCCTCTTAAGAGAAAGAGGAGACACATTCCTTAAGAATTGGGGAATACGGAAATGTACTTCCTTGGCTTACTACCCACAAAACATTAGCTTTGCTGACCCAACGCAACACTCCAATCCAGGATCTTGGCAGTCTCCTGCTATGATGTTATATGGTCAAGTTATCAAAGATCACCTCCCTGTCCTATGGAACAAATACCAGATATATAAAAAGTGGAGAGAAATTGGTGAACTGTGAGAGGCAGCAATGGCTAAAAAGAATGAACACATTTACAATGAATATTGCCGCCCACTTCAGTAATATCAAATTGACAATTCTATTCAGATCCAGAATGAAGATGGTCCTTGCCCTTGTCAGTGGACAAAAATGTGGAGAATTCCAGAGATACTTGGTAACCGGCAATACCATGTGTGGATGAATAGAAGGAATTGGGTAATTCTATACAACCGTTGTTACCTTAGTAAGATCCACCCATTTATTGACATCATTCTACCCAGAGAGCAGTCCCTTGACCTCATGGAACCATGATTTACAGCCAGTTCAAGATAGCAGCACAGAAAATAGATTAACCACATCTAGGCCAGAATTGTATAATACCTCTGCAGGTTCTGCGGTCTGACTGCGGTGATCTGGTGAATTCTCTATGGTGATTGACACAGATTCTAATCCCTTATCACCCAACATACCACACAAACCAATTACAGTGAGTAATGAATCAGAAGAAACGGAAATTGATGACACCATGGATTCAGTCGGCTTGATACAAAATAATATTGGAGAACACCAATATTGAGCAACACAAGCTCCAAGTCAACACCAATGTCGAAATATACAAGCATCTCAAATTCTATCCCAAAAATGCGAGGACAATTGGACACATATTCTGGGGCAAGTCTTCAACTGACAATGTCAATCTGTCCTGTGGTCAGATGAAGAAAGGGGCAAGTAGAGTAGAAATGGAAGGTCTCATTAGTTAATGGGGGACTTCCAAATTACCTTGTCCAGTGTTATATAAACAGCTGAGTGACTAGGGGCCAGATATATTTTTGCATTTGTATCTCATTGGTATGAGAATAAAGTAATTGAGAATTACTACTGCCAGTGCTGTTGTGGTTATTTTACAATTGAAAGTAATTTTCATTGCAATTTATAATACGGTGTTTTGTACATCTTGAAAAAGAACATTTAATTCTACATCATCAGTGGAACTCTCTCATCCCTCAGAGATCAGTGGGGTCCAGTATTTACCAAAAGTTATTGAGTTTTGTGACAACATGATCATATAATACAGACACACATCTAAATATGTTGGAACATCTTCATGGTGACTTGGTGACCACCATCTTGACAATGCTAAAATTGTTGTTATCTTGAACCAACAATGAGCGAGTCATCTTTATATATGGTATACTTGTCACTGTGCCCATGAAAATAAAACATTCAGTTTGGATTGCCTAATTTAAAATCATCAACAAGATGAAACACTCAGAGGTTAAAGACATCTACAACAGTTGGACCATCATTGTCAACAAACAAGATGAATACCACAATGTGTAGTTTTTTTTTTGAGATTAAGTAATGACAGTCATTAACAGTTATGTTGCTTCTGTGATGATCAAGTACCATGACCAGATAGAAATACTTTGCCAAAATCAAGCTTTGAGTTTCCAGCTAAGTCCAAAACATCTATTTCCTCATTCTTTGATTCTACTGACCACACACACACACACACATATATATATATATATGTAAAATTTCAGATGTAACTAAAAATATATTTGTAAAAAGACAATAGTATTCAATTCTTTAAAATATATATTACATAGATTAATCCCAATCTAAAATAATATATTAATTACATTATCTTTAAAAAAAAAAAAAAAAAAAAAAAAAAGAAGACATTTACTCACTTTTGCTTATTAGACATTAAATTATATCACTTAGCATCTGGCATAATTTACCTAGACTTTTCAGTTCGCCTGAATAAATATTTATGAGCGTCTCTTAAATTAAAAGATTTTGAAAAACTGACATAAACAAAGGCAAAAAGCCTTTGTTTATAAATACTTGTTACAAAATAAAATCCTTACATTTTCTCTGATAAAGTCCATCAGAGGGTGAAACATGTCAGTTAAGTGTGTGTATGTATATATCTGACTGATGAAGCAATCAGACGTCTAGCCACACTGAGGAGCTGTGAAACAGTCTGTGGATGACTATATATGCTCCCAGAAATCCAGTTGAGCTCTCTAGGGAAGGGGGGTTCTAAAAACATGGATCCTACAGCTATTAAGCATTACTCTTCAAGTATAAATTGAGTTTTCTGAGCCACTGGTGTATTTCATATAGAAAAAAACATTAAAATTCCCTTCCTTTTTGATGTGCGATGATGGCCTAGAGGTAAGATGTCTAATCAGTCAGGTTTTGATCCTGGCTTGAAGCAAACTGATGTCTAGCTACACTGAGGGTCTGTGGATACAGCGAAACATATATGTCTGTGGATATATATATATATATATATATATATATATATATATATATATATAAAAATTTACATGCATACATACAGGGTGTGGTGGATATATTATCATCTAAATTATGCAAAAATGACAATAACACTGACATCTCATTTTAACAGATATATTTACAAAAATTACACAAAAATATATTGAAATACTAAAAAGTGAATTTATCCAGTAAAATTGTCACTGGCTTCAACCACAGCATGCAATTCTTCTGGATAGTCTACTTGTTTAAGTTGATGAATGTCACCATAATCCTTGCCTTCAATTCATCTTTGGTGTTACAAGAAGTTTTGTTGGTCTCTTGCTGAACTGCGCCTGAGATATAATAATCGAAGGGTTTGCAGTTTAGGGAGTTAGGTGGCCAGATGTAAGGGGTGATGTGGTTGCAGAATTTGTCTGACAGCCATGACTGGGTTTTCCTGCTTGTGTGACATGGTGCAGAGTCTTGTTGCCAGACATAGGGTCTTCCAGGAGCCATCCTCTTGACTAAGGGCAGTACTGAGGCCCTCAACTACAAATTTGGGAGTTCCTTTCTTATCAGAATGATCAGAGTGAGTTTTCTATGGTACCATACTTTCATAAGAACCATTAAACTCATCCAACTCTTTCTGAATCCTCTGCAATCCTCAGATTGACACACAACCACTCTGAAATGTTCGTATTTGAGTTTCCAGATTGAATGTCAAGCAGTATAACATGCTGTTTCAAAATTTCTGGTAGAGTGAAATGCATCATGGTGCTCTTTTTCTTACAGATGGTGCCCAGCTGACTGTACTATACAGTGGAGTTGGCAAAATTAAAAACAAACAACGTGCATGCACAAAATTAAAATGGTGACAATTTACACATTGCTCCCTCTGTGTGTACACACACACACACACACACACACACACACACTCTCTCTCTCTGATGGGATTATTTCAGAAAAGTTACACACAGAGGTCAGCAAGGATTTTGATAGAACAATAGGTTGCTACAATGGAAGGAGCAGACTCTTACACATTATAATAAACATGGGACCAATGTTAACCCCACAGAAGAACAAGCGCATGCCTCTTGACAGTTCCTAGATCCCTGTAAGAACAACAATAACAGATTTGTGAAGACTTAGAAGTAATGGTGTTACTACACTTAAGATATCAACATTACAGTGCAGTATTTAAATGCTAGATTTCAGGTTAAGAATTTTCCCCACACCACCTGGAAAGAAGTGTTCATTTAAAGTGTTTAGAGAAGTCTATAAGGATGCAAAGCTTCAATCAGCATTGATGCCCGATGTGAATAAAGTTCTTTGCACCATTTGAAACTGGAATTACTTAGTAAATACTGACATTACATCTGCTGCAGGTGTATTAACTGAGAGAAAATAACATCAATAAATTATAGCGGCAGTGTCATTCTATTTAGTTTTCTCAAGGCACCATGGTCATACCTGGTACTGAAACTACATTAAAAGAACTTATGTTGCCTTAGGTGACTTCCTGTGTGAAGCTAATGTGCTTAAAATAGCTGTTGATCTATGTTGTGGATGAGAATTACCAGAGAAAATTTTACCAGTCTAGAAGAATGCACTTTCTGCTTTGTCTTTGGAAGGGGGCTCTGTTTATTGTCTCAGAAGATAGTGTGCTATAATGCCACCACTATTCTGCTGGGACAGAGTTGGTGTCAGGGTACTTTCCAAGTCAGGTCTCATCAGTTGTCAGCTTCAGTAGCAGTTGAAATTCTGATCACAGTGGGACAGTTAAGGTAATACCTGGAGATTATCTCCTCGTGGGGATTACTCAAATAGAGAACTATACACACAAAGAAACCAGTTTACAGGAAATCAGATCCTTCTGCAAGATAAAATGATCATTCAAAATGAGACCACATAAGAATACCAAGTATTACATTACATTTAAAGCAAGAGGAAAATTTAAATTTGTTTTTGCTTCTATAACTTCTATAATGTCAGTTAGTTTACAATGAAAGTGATAGAAATAAATCAAGAGTGTTACATTGTCAGTGAAATTCAAAGTCAAGAAATTCTTAGAATCTCAATTCAGGATATGTTCATAGTAAACTGAGCCAATATCACTAAAGTCCCAACCGAGCAAGTCTCAAAAGTACAGGATGAACTGTCAACTGATCAAGATAGCTCAGAAGAACATTGATTAGAAAAATCCATGAGTGTGTCTGATACTAAGTTAGTCTGAGAAGAAAATGCTCAGAATAGTGGAGATTCCAATGCTGAAGGAATCATTCAGAATAAAACAAGAAAACTAGACAAATGGAAGCAGCACCAGGAAGCTGTGGTGTAGCATCACCTTGTTAGACAAAGATGGAAGTCACTATGCCTCACAGGCTATCTATGTAAATAATCTATGGGCACTCCTGGTCCTGGGTATGATGATAAACTACATCCAATTGCAAGGTTAATGATCAGGGGATTGGAGGTTTTTTCAGGAGTGTGGAACCACCTTTCAATTGCTGTTGTTCCCAGGTCCAATCTGATCTGCGTTGGTAGCACCTGTTAGGGTCCCAGCTATGAGAAAATAGTTACCCCGCTGTACACTGATCATTGCAAGTGAGTTCCAATACAATGCTAAATTAGAGGCCTTGCAGAATGACATTGATGCTGTATCAAATGTGGAAGAGATCTGCTCTAAGCTGGAGGAGGCCAATGAGGTATATGGCACTTCCAAGAATCATCAGTGGAAACCAGAGACCTAGCGGTGGAATGGCAGAGTTGATGATGCTGTTACTGAGAAAAGGTCATGCTACACGACCTACAGGGCTCAGAGTTTTGTTGCCAAAGTGATTGAAACAAATGCAGCCTACAGCGAGGCCAAGCGTATTGCCAAACAAGTTGTATGGCTTGCCAAGTCAGAGGTTGAGAAGACTTTCACTGATATATCACCCTGTGGCGATGAAATCTTCCATCTTGCAAAGCAACTGGACAGAACCAACCAGGATGTCATTGGTGAGAAGTGTGTTTGGAATGATGCAGAACTATCATTTAGCAATGACCAAAAAGCATAGGTTGAACATTATAGCAAGTTGCTAAATGTTGAGTTTGACTGGCCTCATGATATGCTTCCTAAAGTTGCACTGGTTACAAGTCCTCCTCCATTTCCATTTCTAACATCAGCACTGATTGAAAAAGTGGTCAAGAAGATGAAGTGTGGGAAGGCAGCTGGCCCATCTGATGTCACTGCTGAAAGCATCTGATGATAAAGACATCAAAATGCTTAGGTTAATTTCAGAATAGGTTTTCAATAGTGGTGTAATCTCAAGTGAGTGGAAAGCTTCATTCTCAACCCCTACAAGGGCAAGGATGACACCTTGGACAGAGGCAACTACAGAGGCCTCAAGCTCACTGATCAAGTGATGAAACTGCTGGAACATGTGCTTGACTCCTACATCAGACAAATTGTCAACACCAATAATAATGCAGTATGGTTTTGTCTCTAGGAGAGGTACCACTGACACAATTTTCATTGAGTGTCAGCTGCAGGAGAAATTCATCACTGCTGTGAACTCTCTTTTTTGCCTTTGGATCTGGAGATGGCGTTTGACAGTGTTCCGAGAAAGGTGATCAGGTGGGCTATGAGAAGCCTTGGTGCTGGGGATTGGGCTATTCGTGCGGTTCAGGGCATGTAGTGCAATGCCTGGAGTTGAATTAGAATCAATGGACAATATAGCAGGGTGTTCAGTGTTGGTGTTCATCAAGGGTCAGTCTTGAGTCCATTGCTCTTCATTCTTGTGTTGGAGGTACTCTCTCAGGAGTCCCACACTGGTGTACCATGGGAACTTCTATATGCTGACGACCTTGTGTTAATCACTGACACTCTGGATGAATGTTTTGCCAAGCTGAAATCCTGGAAGGCGGGCATGGAGAGCAAGGGGCTCTGTATCAACATAAAAAAGACCATGTTTATGATTTCTGGTGTTGACCTGGACAAGTTGCAGGAATCTGGCACATTTTCCAGTGTTGTCTGCTGCAGTGGATTGGGAACAAATTTGATCTTGTGCTCCAAATGCAACACCAGGTTACACAAGAAATGCAGCGACATCACTGGTAGGCTAACAGAACTACCAAATTACATCTACCCTAGATGCTGCGGTGAGGTGTGACTATTGATGGCAGGTCCACTACCCAAGTCATTTTCAATGGTTCAATAATGGATATTGAACCCTGTTTCTGTTATCTTGGGGATATGCTCTGCACAGATGGAAGTTGTGTGCTCGCCATTATAACCAGATGCTCTGTGTCTAGAGGAAAATTCAACACTCCCACCAATTCTCACATTCAAACACATTGTTGAGAACTTGTGGCAAATTGTTCTGTGTGTGTGTATGATCTGCACTTCTCCATGGCAGTGAGACTTGGGTACCAAGTGTGTTGGTCTTGCAGTGGCTCTGCTGCAATGACTGCCTGGTGATTCACTGAATCTGCAGCACCATGCCTCAGCATGAAACCTCCTCATCAGAGTTGTTAAGAAGTTTGGTATTGCAGATATAACATCAGTGCTGCTCATTCATCATCTTAGCATCTTAAATGGTTTGGTCAGGGTCAATAAGTTTCATCTTGCATCAGGACTGTCTTGGAGTTCAGGGTTCCTGGTCAGAGAGATCGATGTAGACCTAGGAAGACATAGAAGGACTGCATTGAGAGGGATGTGCGGGAATGCGGCCTTGCCCACATTAGCCTGCTTGACAGGGATGCTTGGAAAGGAGGAGTGAGAGCAAGCTGACTGCTACCTAAACCAGTCACTGGGAAACCTGCAGCAGTATAATCAAAGCTCTTGATCTTGACCCCTGTACTTGTATATATATATTGTATAGAGAGACTAGCTATCTTAAAAAAAAGAAGTCAAAGGTGGAATATTATATGAACTCCCTCATCTCCCAGAGATGAATTTGTTCAGTATTTACAAGAAGTTACAGATATATATTCATATTACTTCAAATGTTATTTTTATTGGATACCCATATTTGACTATACATGTCGTTTCTTTAAACTGTTTATTTCATTTACATTAATCTGGACTTTTGTCCTCATCTTCATCGTTCTATTCAGAACATTTGGCCATTGTACTTGGAGAGTTGAGTTTTTAAAGGGAAATAACCGAAACTGAGATATCCAGAAAGAGCATGGCATGTGGATCTAGAACAATTTACCCCAGTGGACTAAATAAAGGATTTAGTTTGAAAATCCAACATATATCACCTGAAGAAGGCCAGTGGGTACAACGGCCAAAACCTTGTGAATATGATAATAAAAATGAGGACAACAATCTGAATAATGTAAATAGTTACAATACTTCATCTCAAAAATATAGACAACTATTTATTTTAGCTACCGGTCTGTGAATTTGTGCATAAAGAAAATAAGCCCTTTGATAGGATTCGAACTTGCATCTCCCTTTGCAGGAGAAACCACCCTTTGATCTGGTGTACTTTGACCATGCGAGAGAACCTTGCTTGATTGTGAAGCCCTCTGTAGCCAAGCGGTCAAAGCATACTTTTGGTTTCTCTTGCAAATCCTGCCAGAAAGCACATTTTCTTTAAGTTTTATCAAGTGTGCAGGCGGTAGACAAAATAAGAACTATTTAAAAAAAACAAAGCATTTACTCATATATGGATATCCACTAAAAATAATGTTTGAAATAATAAAAATATGAGATTGAAAAATAAAATCTATTATTTCTTTAGAAATATATATTCATGCCTATTGATATTCAAGTTTCTTTGTGTTTTCTGGATATCTTCCATATTGATAGTGTTAAAGTTATTATTATCCAGGCTCTACAATGACCTAGTTATCCTCTGTATAGATGCTATCTTTTTTCATCATAAATGATATTTCTTCTGAATGTGAGAGAAAATAAAAAAGAATTCATGACTTACTTCTTTTAAGGCTCCTTTTCCAGATGCATAAGCTCGGATACTAGGACTAATTTTCCAATTATATTTTGGTGATAATATCTGCAGAAATAAGAAAAGAATAAAAATCTTTTGAAAACAGGAAAAAAAAATAGGATACTATCGGATCTTAAGTATCTAACATCTTGTTCTTCGTGGCATGTCAGTAAGGGAAAAGGAAATTAGTGGAGTCTCTCTATGCAGTAGTTATCATTGGATTAGATAATACCAATAACAAGAATGATCCATGATCTCACTGTAAACTGCCAACCATTGTCAAAAGCAGTGGGTCAGTTGGATTAATACCTTTCTTTTTCCCCCTCCCAAAGGACATTAATATAAAACAACAAGCAATCTTGAATTTGAACTTTGCTAATTCAATTTTAAAAGTTCCTAACTATAATACACTTCCATCCAGTTGCTTTATTAACTCCTAACAAAATCTAAGTTACAGAACCTCTTTAGTTCACACACTGCCAGACTGAGCAGAGGAAGACATGCTTATGCTATTGAGAGTTAGCAGCTGAGTGATATTTTAAAATGCTAAAATTCTAACTGAAAGCATGGATTAATCTTAATAGATTCAAAGCAAATTGCAAGGTCTTTCTTCTTTTATGTACCATGTCCCTTCAAGACATAGGTGATGAGTTTTGTTATGTGGCTCATTAGGCTGATTCTTTAGTAGAGTTTCCATTTGTTTGTGCCTGGTTTCTTAGGCCATGCTATGAAAATAGATCTGAGATCTTCTGGTATATCCTCGTTGTTGTAGATTTCATTTATTATTTCTGTGATCTTGTCTATGCCAAAATCATCAAAGACTCAGCATTTCTGTTACCATTCCATCTGGCTCTGCTGCCTCATTTCTATTCAATTTGGCCAGTGCAGCTTCTACTTCAGTTTTTAGAATTTCAGGCTCATTGGTAGTTCTGTGTATTGCTGATCCATGTGGAAGAGTTCTCCAATATATTTGTTGCAGTGCTGAAGAATTTTTCCCTTCTCTAATATAAGTGTTAAATCCTTTGATTTTATGCAGCCTGTTGAGAAGCATGTTTTCTGTCCTGTTAGTTCCCTTATTTGTTTATGCATATCTCCTTTGTTGGTGGTACTCAAACTCTCTATTTCTGCACATTTTTTTGTTTAGCCACTCTTCTTTAGCCTGCCTGCATTTTGTCCTTATTTTGTTGTGTAGTTTTATGCTACATATCTTGGCAGAGTTTTCAGTCTACTTTGCATCATGTTGAGAATCTCATCAGTCATCCATTCGTTTTTTTCTTCTTCGTCCATTCTCCTTTGGGATGATATCATTTGCTGATGTCATTAAAGCTTCTCTTAGTGTGTCCCATTTCAAGTTTTCATTGTGTTCCTCGTATCTTCTTTTCACACTGTCTATATATTTTTCTTTCAGGTACAGGTCACTCAGGAGATTGTTTTATTGCAATTTGGGTGCTGCATTAGGTTTCATCAGTTTCCATAGTTTCACTCTCCATTTACTTCCGCAGTTGGCACTTGGGTAAATTTTGCAGTGAACCATTGCATTTCTGAATCTTTTGTTGATAGTTATGTATGTTGGTGTTATGGATCTATTTTTCTCCATGTTCGTTGCAGGTGAGTCTGAATTTTCCAGCTATGTGTCCCCTGTCTACTTTGGTGTTCAGGTCTCCCATGATAATTATGACTGCTTGTGATTTGCAATGAGCCTTGATGTGGTCTAGCCTCGAGTAGAAATATTCGATTTCTTCTTCCTTACTTTGTGCTGTTGGTGCATACACTATTATTGAAAAGTTTTTCTTTCAGTTTGGCTACCACAATTCTTTCTTGATCTGGTATCAATCCTACTCCTTTATCATTTTTCTCTTCGCCTGCATAAATAATCCTTGGTTTGGCCATTTAGTTTCACATACACCTAAGATGTTGATTTTTAACCTGCTCATCTCCTGTTTTACATAATCTAAACTGGCCACAGTTGTTCAACATCTGAACATTCCAAGTCCTGAGAGTTATTTTTTGTGCAAGGAGAGCAGTTGCTGGATAATTCTGAGAAGTTTTAGATAGATTCTGAGGAGTTTTATCACATTTATGTCGTTTGTGCTAGCAGACACTGGATGGCAGTCAGGTGACACCTGTTGTACATGTCCTTACCAGGTGAGGAGTTAATTTTCATAGACTTAACCCCCTTCATGGCGTTAGGTTTCATATTGTGTGTGTTATTTGCCATGATATTCTTAGGATTAATAGTGGAGTGGTTTCCTGTTGCTTTCTCTACAGTGGTTTATGGAGACACCACCTCTAGTTAGCTGTTGACTCATCAAGAGTTCTTCTGCCATACACTTTCAATAATATTTTATACATATAAGAGCAAATTTAAAAAATTGTTAATTTTAGATTAAAAAAACAGAAAAATAAAAACAGACGTTACACTTAAATTATAACCAGAGAAAGAAAAAAAATGCTTAAGTGTGACTCATAACAGTAATGAACTGAAAAATTGTGTAGTGAGGCATTGAAAAATAAAAATAAAATAAAAAAGATGTTACTAGTGAGAGTAAAATGCACAACGAACAGAAATGTATAAACAGCCAAGCAGAAAACATACAGTCAAGTAGAGTAAGTCACTGTTCCAACTGAAGAGTTTTGTGGGTAATAGGTTAGTATACAAGAGAAGCATCATGGCTGAAAGGATAATGTGAATATTTGGAGCAGATAGTGTGACAAAAGATGATGAAAAGTGTGACACAGAAATCCAGAGGTACATATGAATAATGAAAGAGAATGTGTGGTTTCATATCCAGTTTTCTACACTATGTCAGGTTCTATTATAGAAGTCTCTTTTCACAATAAAATTGGTATTAACATATTAATATTGGGGAAAATTGAGGAGATACATAGGATAAATATAATGTTAATTTCAACTTATAATGTCTGTTTTTGTTACAAATATTTGCAATAACATATTTGGTGATGTGAGATTTCATTATGAAACTGAAAGGTTGTTTATTATAATGTTCAAATACTTATGTATGACACTTTGAATTTCAGATATAGCAGAATGCCACAGGTCATAAGAAAGGTATAAAAGAAACAAGATATCACAAACTGTTATCTGGTATACCAGTTTGGGATATCTTGTTACAATTATTGGAGTGACAGGAACATTGCTGCAAATTACAAAAAGTTTAACAGCAATCAGAAAAGAATCAGTCAAGAAGTTTAAAACACTGGCAAGAGCAAGAAATAATGGCTTTAATAAGGTCACGAATAGAGAGTTGAGAAAAATTAAAATGGTAATAAATAAGTAAGAAGGATTGACATGTAAGATAATATTTGCTGTGGCTGCTGCTGTTAAGAATGTAAATAGAGAGAAAAGATGCAGAATATCAAGGAAATTGGTTTATATCAACTGACCTATTACATTTAAAGTAAACAGGGTAAGTTTGGCAAAGAAATACATAAAAAATGATTTTTGACATTACATCTGATGAACGTGATGGCTAAGTGAGTGGTTGGGTACTAGTAGAAGTCAACAATGAAGAAGTGGAATGTTTTGGGTAATTATTGTAGGCAGTAAAATTATTGGTCCCTTCAAAGTTGATGTTAGTGTCAAGATAAAGGTAGAACATTATTGTAAGATCTTAGACAAGATATTTTTGATTAGTACAGGCTATAATCAAGAAACTTTATGCTAAAGAATATCTTCATGCAAGACAATGCTCCTTCACATTCTGCAAAGCTGACTACTGCTCACCTTACCAAAAAAGGTTTCAATGACATTGAATTAATAAAATGGCCTTCAGTCTCTCAAGAGATTAATCCAATAGAAAATCTGTTTCATCATTAGAACAGATTTATATGACAATGGAAAGCAATATTCAAGCAAAGAAGTAATAAAAACTGTTGCAAGTAATATTAAACTTGAAACAGTAAAAAGGTTAACAAAATAAATAAATGACTAATGAGTGTTATAGAATATCAAAGAATTCATATTAACATTTAAAATAATAAAATTAAAAAATACTGGCTATTGCACGAGTCAAATTATATTCTTATGGTCTATATTTATAAATAAATCCAAAAGATAAATAATTTACATTTAAAACATAACCTGATACATCAAAAACAAGTTATCAATATTTTAATAAGGAATGATATAAACTGTAACTTGCACAATGTGTGACTTACATAATTTTTATTGTTAAAACATGAACTTAAATAACAAATGCTATCATACTGTGTATTGTTAGAGTCTTTAAATGTTAATTCTCTTCCAACCATATTAACAAACATTCACGCAACATAAATAGAGACTGTTACAGAAACTCCTATTGAAAGTAGAAGACACAATTGATAAAATACATGCTTTAGTAGTTTTAGTAAAATTAATAATAATAATATTAAAAATAAGATAAAGTGTGTGAGCACTGAAATACCCTTGGGAAAGGTATGAATTAATATCCTCTCCACATCTATGGGTTAAATAGTAGAACTTGTATCTGGTGTAGAATGAGTTCATGTCTATAAAGTTAGATGAGGCAACTTTATGAACTCATTCCACACTAGGGTTGATAAGACAGACAACCAATATCATTGTCTGCTGAAATAGGCTATTTCCCATATGACGAAATTTTGATTTATTTGTTTATTAATTATATTGCTCTGTATTAATAAATACATCAGGCTCTTTTTGTGGATCAGTTTTAATATTTTATATTACTAGGATCCACTTGGATTATAAACCAACAGATTTTTTTACCTTTACTTTTTATATATATATATATATAAAGACAGCACAGAGATTAAAGAATGTTCTGGATTTTTGATAAACATGATTTCTAGTAGATGAAATACATTATACAGAATTTTTCCACCATGTCATTCATTTTCCATAAACATTATTATAATTCTAGCTTAGATAATTAAATAACATTTCTGTTATACAATGTTATCTTGATTTTTTTATTATAAGATAAAGTATTGTCATATATTATTGATTTTTCAACTAATATTTCTTTCATTTTAATTTCAATTATTTAATTACAAATCTTCAGTCCATTATTCTCTAGTCATTAGTAAGCAGTGCAAACAGGAATTAAAGAAAAAGCATTTGTGCTGGTAAAATTGAATAATGAAATGAAAGAAATACAAGTTAAAAAAAATTAATAATTATCTATTATGTATCAAAACTACTTTTTCTGTATTTATGTACAACAAAAATATTTACTTTTTATTGTACCTAACATTTTGTTTTTATTTGACAAGGAAAATGACAAGTGAAGCAATAAAAACATTGATGAAAAGAAAAAGGATAAAACAGCTGAATCCACTTACAGAGGAGTTTTGGCATTGTGATGATTTCTTGGCGATGAAATGTCGTAATGATGGTCCACAGCTTTTGTAGTTATGGATATGTCTGGCACCCAAATATTGGAAAGATACAGTTTTTGCAGGTTTTAGAATCTGGGAACATATTGCTAGCTGCAGCAGAAAAAAAAATGATGATATAGATAATGTGGTATGAAAGTTTTTCTCAAAGGAATCATTTTAATAATTATCAGAGAGATTCTACATTTCCTAAGGGAAAAAAATAATCAAATATAACAACACAGGAAAAATTGATTCTACTCTCAATGAAGCTCTTGAGTCTCAAACTTCAGTACAAACTTCAAGTGGGACTTTTATAGCCGATCTAGTGTCAAAAATATTGGAAAAATGGTCAGTTCAGGGAGTATCTAACTCCTGTCATGCTTTGACTTTATAAGAGATTAAACCAAAAATAGAAAATTGCAGGCATAACTAGACTAAATCTGCTCAATTCTCACTTTCCAGAGTTCAAAATCATCTTCATAGTCTTGTAAGTAATGTCTTGTTTTCCACTCTGCAACTTCCTACAGACACAACATTGCAAGCCTGTTGCTGTTCTATTGTTACTTGTATAACAAATGTTCAGATGTCCCATTCTTTAGTCTCACCATTTCAGAATTTTTGCAGCTAGGCCTCACCTTGCAACTCCTATGGAGTTGAATCATCCACATTTCCTCTATATTCCAAATGTAAAAAGAAAGTTCCACTCAGACAGCTTCTTCCCAAGAACTGTCACTTTGTGAAATATTCTTGTGTGGTTGCTTCCTTGAACACATTTTGATACTTCAAGTGTTACTCATCATCTTTTCTTCTCATAGTCTCCATTTTACCTTCTCTTTCAGATCCCATACATTATTCAGCATTACCATTTTGATGACTGCCTTGAGTGGTTTTTAAGCCTTGTATTTGGTAAACTATTAGTATAAAAAACAAAACAAAATTAAAATATATTTTCTTTAATATATTCCTTCCTACATAACAACAAATGAAAAATAAAAATTATTCACACATTTAAAAATATCTATTAGTGAAAAAAATATTTTGAACAAGATAAAAATGATGTAGTTACTTAGTTTTATGGAGCTTCTGGGTACACAACATTAAGTGCTTCTCTCATTGGAGGACAGCATAAAAAGGTTAAGAGAGGCACAAGTCATTTTGAGGCCAGGGGTCTTGGGAGATCTTCCTTGTGCTGAAGCAAAGCTTCACTTCATGGGAATTGAAGTCACTTGAATTTAAAGACAAAGTTGTACAGGATGGCATTCATTGGTGAAAAGAATGAAAAGTCAATCTTCATGGATTCTATTGCCCACTTTCAGTCAATTTTCCTTATGTCTTTTAGTGGAGGGCAAATGATTGGTCTCATATTTTACCACTTTATTTACGACCTAACATATTGTGCTTTTTGACATTTTCTTGGTACTGCAACACTTAAGTCTTGAGAGCTTGACAGAGTTGGGTTTTTATAACTTTTCTTGCTACAGGATACAGATTAATGACTTAAAGCCCTCAATGTGCCATTATCAGGCTTGCATCTGAATCATTGAGGACTTTCAATGAACTTCATTGTTCAACATTGTTTATCTTTTCCAAGCTATAAAGTTATTAAACCCTTCTCTTTAATCAGCTAATCAGTCTTATGACTATTTTAAAGTTTCATGCAATATGGCTATTAATTTGAAACACAGAAATTTAAGTCCTTTTATACAAAACCAGTATTCATGAACTGCACATATACATATTCAGTCAATAAAATCTTAACATCTCTATAAATATTTAAAATTTTTATATTGATAAAACATTAATTAGCTAATAATGGAAGTCACTGAATGTGCGTGTGTGAAACTCATTAAATAAATGTGGCTTTATAATTTATATCAACATGTGTGTTATATCTTGCTCTGCTTAGTGGTTATTGTTTAAAGGATGTAACAAATTCACATATTCAATTTTAAAAATCAATTTTTATCATCATTTTGTGGCACATGCAAATTCCTCAAAAGAAAATTATTGTGTGGTGCTTGTACACTGGGTATTATTGCTTGCATAGAAATAAAATAAAATTCTTCACAGAATGTATAGATACTACTCTGATCCTAAATAAAAGTGTTGGTCATAATGATAAATTTATTTATTATGTAGAATTATTTTTTTTTTTTATTATGCTAGTGTGTATATAAAACAAATTTATTATGTATAATTATTAATTTGGTTTCATTGTAAATCACTGTGGTAATGATAATACATTGTCTTTTGCCAATTTCTTTTATTTTGTTATAAAAGAAATTAAGTGTTCATGTAGAATGTAAATTACATGGGAAGAGTAAACACTTTTATTCATAAATGGTTATTCTTTGTGAAAAGAAATATTCTTTCTTCAACTGTAATTGCCTCTGGATAATAATACAACTTTAGTTCTTGAATTTTGCAATACTTTGGCAGCAGAAAACGAAAGTCCTTGATACTTGCTTTGGCAAATATATTTCAACCTTACCTAAATATTACAGTATAAACAGAATTTTTTCATCTCAACAAAATCATTAATAATACTGAGGATGGTAAAGAAAACCAATGTGCTTTCAGAACATGTAGGAACACCTATGTATTTCATGTATTCTAAAAAAAAAAAAAAAATAAAATCATCTCACCTAAACTTGAAAGCATTCACCACACTGTATATACAAGTAGGTAGAAAATATATAAATATTTTATCCTCCACAAGATGACGGACACTAAACAATTGAATTTGCAACAAAAGTGGTATTTTTTAAAATTTAACATAAATCTTTTGAATAAAATTTATTATTTGTCTGAATTTCTGGTATTAGGAGTTATTATTTGGATTACTGCACTTATCTTTGTTGTTATTATCATGTTCTGGCTATTGTGCTTCTTCAGGTATTTATCGATCCAGATAACCTTCAGGAAATTTCAAATTGAACCCTTTATTTAGGTACCTCCATGAGATCGCTAAAAAAGAGCATAGCATGATGAAAAAGATGCCAAACTTGACAAAAACAAAACTTTATCGTCTAAATGTTCATGTTATTATTAAGAGGAAAGATCAAAGTATTTTTGGGATATTTTTTTACATTTTTTAATCGTTCCTAGCGCGTCCAAAATTTTTGTTAAAAATCTAGTTTTTTTTTTGAATCAGTAAAATTGACAGATAATCAATCACGGCAACCATTTTTTTTCCATTTTATAAAAAAAAAAAAATGAAAATCTCAGTTTGAAATTATTTTAAAAATCAATTATTTTTTCAAAACTTATTTTAAGAAAATCAGAAATTATAATGTTTATTTAAAATATTTTGAATGACGTTTTACGTGAGGATAATTTGTTCTATGGAAGGAGAGAATTGAAGTTATTTAGATTTAAGTGAACAAATTATTTTTTAAGGAAAACTTAAAGTGCTCTAATTTTTTTTTTTTGTACTTAGCTTTCACCTTTATGTTTACGATGTTTTATGGAAAATATATTATAAAGAAATTAAAATAAGACTTAAGAGTGAGATTAAATTTCATATTTCATAAGAAAGGTATCTAAATTAATTTATAGGTACCTTTCTTATGAAATTTTATCAGAAGTGTACATAAAATACTATAATTTTATGTACATTTATTCCATTTTACTGTGTTATTTGTATTTCCATTCATTTTATTATTAATTTTGATATTTCATTTATGGAAAAATGTCATAACTGAGATTAATATAAAAATAAGATCATATAAATTTCATAAGATGATACTGATACTTGTAGGTATCCTTCTCAGTTGAAATTGAAAAATCAAATTAACTTCTCCACACGTGTTTCGCAAAAGTAAAAGCCTTAACAGCGCAGAACAATGCTTAACACAAAAAAACGCAACTTAATTGTATTCCGGTTGGTCTTCCATACTTTCTAATTACAGCCCCATTATAAACACAAAATTACATTTCTTAATTACTGTGGGTCTTCTGATGAGTCAAAATGATACAATTTACAATGTGGTAAAAAAAAAAAAAATCTATCTCATAAGGACACTTACAAAGGGGATGTGGCTTTTAACTAATTTTATAATATTTTAACAACTTAAATGTAAATATGTATTATAATTAAAGAAATAACAAATAAATGTATTAAAGATTCATTTTTCATCGAAAAAAAGTTTTTGCTTTCAGAAAATATTGTCCATATTCATAAAAACAACTATAAGGAAATAAAAGCATTTGAAATTAAATATCTTTGTTTTATTGAGTTTTGTATGTTACAATTCAGAGCTGATTTTCCTCTCCAATAAAAAAAAAACAACAAAAAAAAAACATGATTTGCATTCCTCAAAGCCTTGTGCTTTTAACTATTGTAATCACTTCTAGAGTTTTTATAAAATTAGTTATGAGGGGTTGTAATAAATATAAAAAAATTATTTCTGCCATGACTTTAAAAAAAACAAAAAAACAACATATTTATAATAATTTCCATCATCTATGAATAGTTTCTGAAAGTTTCATTAAGATCCGACAATTATTTTTATTTTTGCAAGATTTTCCAAATTAATGTGCCATACAAAAAAAAAAAAAAAAAAAAAAAAGGCTAAAAACTGTATATGTTATTTTACTAGTTCCGGTGATACAAAGGGTTTTTTTTTTAATCAAAATTTGGAATGTTCTAAAAAGAAGGAAATCTTTTTTAAAGTAATTAAAAAAAACAAACTTTCCTCTTCATAATAACATGAACATTTAGATGATAAAATTTTGTTTTCGTCAAGTTTGGCGTCTTTTCCATCATGCTATGCTCTTTTTTTAGCTTAATCATGGAGTTACCTACCTTTATTTAATCTATGAGAGTAGATTTTTCTTAATACAAAGTGTTTAGAAGTAAAGGGAGATGAATAAAGAGTTTCTTAAGGATATTAAAAGATAAAAGTCATACGCAAAATTGGAGAGTACATTTTTTGGTATGGTAACAATGGCAAAGAACGTTTTCATATGAAAATTATTTTCAAAAGCTTTTTTTTTGGGAGAAGAAAAAGTAACAAAAGTTTGGTATTCATTTTTACAAGTGTTTAATTGAAATTTAATCATCAACCAAAACTTTAAAAATGCATAATATCTGTACTTAAATAAAATATATATATATATATATATATATATATATATATATATATATATATATATATATATAAAAGTAAGCGTTAAAATAACATTGGTTTCCCCGATTCAACTAAATTAAATTTTTAAACTACATAAAAATACCTATAAGACAGTGTTGTAGTAGTTACTTCCCTTGGATCATACTTTTTTTTTTTTTGCAGCTGTCCAATAAATATTTGTAACTGAAAAGCGTACTGTTTCGATACGGTGGTTTAGTGGATATAGGAATTGAAGTGTTTATACATCTATTAATGTTATGTGTTATTCACGTGTTCAATCCTTGGATAAACTAGTGAAGCACCAATTCGGTAGGAACGAACAATCACAGGGTATAGATATCTCTTATCAGCTGATTAATGGCCACCCGTGATAACCAGAGGGTGCTTGGTCGATAAAAGAAAAAATAATAATTTCTATCATTTGTAAAAAGTTTCTGAAACTTTCATTAAAATACGACAATTATTTTTATTTTCGCAAGATTTTCCAAATTAGTGTCTGTCATACAAAAAAAAGAAAAAAAAAACGCGCTAAAGTAGTTCCGCTGACACAGAGAGAAACAAGGATTTTTAATCAAAAGTTAGAGAATGTTCTCAAAAGAAGGAAAAATGTTAAGAATCAATTAAAAAATACTTTGTTCTTTCCTCTTAATATTAATAAACATTTGTTAGACGGTAAAATTTTGTTTTCGTCAAGTTTGGGGTCTTTTTCATCATGCTCAGCTCTGCTCATTTTTTTAGCGATTTCATGGAGGTACCTAAACGTTATGTAATCAAGATAAGAACAATATAGCTCGAAAAATACTTATCCAAGAAATGAAATGCTAAATTCATACTACTTGTTTTTAGTTACAATCGGCTAAATAAATCGAGACGATGAAAGAAGAAAAATTAAAAGAAGTGCGCAATAATAGTTTCTTAATAATTAAAAAAGCTTAGAAACAGTTGAAATTTAATAAAGTGATTAATAAAAATATTGAAAAAATCCCCAGAGCAAGCGAAATAAAAGTCAAAGTGTAATTAAAAAAAGTTATTAACAAATGTAATTACTGAGAACTGTTTAAAGAATAAAAATTAATAAATTATAAAACATTGTCAAAAGATTTGAAATGAATTCCTATTGCATTTGGACATCTGACTTACGGGCTCGGATACCCCACTTTAAAACTTGGCCTTGTACCACATATTGCTGCGTGGGGCAGCGGGTAAATAATTATTTATCAGGTGCATATTAGTGCTAGAAGAAATAACGGGATTATTTATGGATCATCATTGCTTGGGCTGTGGGGGTGATGTGCTCTGCCAAGGATGAAAATGTTGTTTCTCGACTAGGATCAGTACACAGCGAAAAGTGTTACAATCACTGACAAAAATGGACACACATTTTGCATTATTTTCTTTTTTTTCTTTACTCAATGATGTTCCCTCTGTACAAGGCTTGGGAGCCACTCGAGGTAGAGAGTTACAGAGTAAGAGACACAGTTTAGGATTCCACTATATTGTGATATTAGCAGCTTTTTTGCTTGATTATACCAGAATCAGATTATTTCTTTTGAATTCTCTGAATTTCATTCTTTTTCGATGCTTGTTCATAACTAACAACAACTGTCAACAGTCAACCAACACAGAAAAAAATCTGTAGGCAGAAGGTTCACTCGTCAGGTGGGAAGCAGTTCACAAACTGAATCAGCTTTGTTGGCAGTGAAAAACATTCAGGATTCAACAGAGCTAAGGAAGGACACTGCATTTTTGATGATCATGATTACGAATCCTGTATCCCTTAGGGTCGTAGGGGTCACCACATCTACTGCAGCAATAGCAGCAGTGGTGTTTCCTGGGCAAGAAAGCCTGGCGGAGCCCTTGCCCTCTCCAGGTTGAAAGAAGACAATATGGACTAAAAATAAGAACATAAGACTTTGTTGGGAGAAATAAGAAACACAAGATAAACAAAGAATACGTCCATATTTTGGAGATGTGCTCCCTCCGATATGGTTGGAAAAATTAAAAATAAAATAAACAAACATCGAAAACTTTTCATTTTATTTTTAAGATAATTTGTTTATAATTTTTCGTAATAAAAATCAGCAGTGTATTCACGCCAATGTCATTATTAATTGATATTTTGATTGCTTTCTTATTTAAATTATATAACTTATTTTAAAAAGTAAATGGGGCATAATGGTGTTTGTTTTCGTGTGATACTATTATTGCTGTAGTAGTGTAAAGAAAGCTAATATTGCTCAAGTTTGTTGACAGTCACGATAAGTGCATTTAAAAAAAAGTAATGTCCCACAACACACATAAAATAAAGGAAACTTCAAGAGTAAATGGAGCTATGGAGTATGAATGCTTGTTACGCTTTTCCTACAGAAATCATCCTTGTTGCCGACAGGAAGGTCATCCTTGCAAGATTATTTTTTAAACTAAGAAATCGTCATCTTCTGATCCAATGAATGTACATAAAATATAAAATAGAATTTTCATAACTGATTGATGAGAACTCAAGTGACATTTAAATAAAAATATATTTCGCATAAAGTTTTAATGTCGTTTTTTTTTTTACTGTACGTTACGTTACTTGATTAAAAGAGAAAAATAAAAGTAAAACTCACAGTCGGCTTTAAAGAGTATCGAAGAGTAAAAGAAGGTAGTAGCATCGTAGCTTTTGAAGTAGACATCATTTTTAAGAAATAAATTATTCCAATAAAACGAGGAAAAGAATCATGAATATAACGTTTCCTTATTCGCGTGATTAAAGCATGGAATTACAACAAAGTGCCACCATATTATATGTAGCAGACATAACCAATCTTGCCCCACTTCCTGTCAACCTCGAACCCACATTTGCAGAATTATCGATGAGTTATGTCTATATCAGTTTCTCGCCGGCTTGTCGACAAAAAATATATCTTCAAGAAAATCTTTTTACTTTCAGGTAGTTTTATTTATATGTTTTATTTGCGATAAATAAATAATTGCATAAGGTTAATTTCATTCGTGTGAAAAACACCAAAATTCTAAGGTCTATGCTTATTTTACTTTACTTTTAATTAAAATTTGCCTAATAGATAACGATTTTGTCGAGGAAGTAGTTAGTGTGTAGTCTTGTAACGAAATTATTAATTAAATAAATGAAATTAGTAAAAAAAAAAATAAAATCTAAAGGTCAAGTGACAAAACAAAACACATGCACGCACACATGGCTTGCGGCCACATCATACTGAAACACCGGTTCGCGTTTATGATAATCGAAGTTAAGCAACGTCGAGCCTGGTCAGTCGGTTATCGCTTGGGAATACATTGAGTTCCAAAACCAGTTGGGTTCATTATATTTACTTACGCGCAAATACCCTAGGGCCTAGGGAAATGTATGAATCCAACTTTTCTCCCCACAAGTATGGGTTAAATATTAATAAGGCTTGTATCATTAAATCCTTATCTCCAAAAAGACAAAATAAAAAAATGCGTACAAAATATTTAGATTTGAGCATTAAAATAGCCCATATGCCGCTAAACAAAAATAACCAACCACACACACACACACGTTTTTTAACAAAATAATAGAACAAGTAGACTATTTAAAATAAATCATACAACTGTTTCTTTTTATTCTAAAAGATACGGTAAATTTGCTTTTTAACACCCACGCTAAATATCTCTTAAATTTTTCCCAAATCGTCATAATTCCGTGTAAATGTACATGCTTAACTAGAATTAACAATTAAATTATGAAGAAACCTACAGTTTTGGAGTTATCGGACTTCTTATTGGTCATTCGTTCCATATTACTGCCATCATGAACACTAGTGTAGTTTTATTTATAACAAAAATAAATTAAATAATACAATAGAACTTTTTTCCGTATTGAATTGCAACGACAAATTAAAAGAAGAAATTAAATAATTCAATAAAGCTTTTTTCTAAAATTAAAAGCGGACAAATTGATAAAACAAAAAAACAAAAAAAAAAAAAAAAAAAAACAACCAAAAAACATTTTTACACTCTACAGTAAACCCTTATTTCGTTTCTAGCATTTTTTGTTTTTTTGCAATGTTATTTTGTACATAATCATACTCTTTACAAAGTGTTATGTTTATGGGTAAGGGTTAGGAGCGGTTTGGTTGGGTTTCTTTCTGTGTAGTAAAGGGGACAAATTTAAAAAAAAAAGAAATAATACAATAAACCGGGTTAACTTTAGCATTAGGTGTTAGGGTTAGGGGTTGTGTTTGGCTTCTTTGTAGAAAAGGGGACAAATTTTTTAAAAAATTGAATAATACAATCAACCCTTCTAATTTACCAAGTTTGTTTTATTTTCAATTTTAAAATATAAAAAATGCTTTATTTTTACTATTTAATTTGTTCTTTTAATTTGTCATTGTTATTCTACACAGAAAAAAAAAAAGAAGGTTTTCCTTGTATTATTTAATTTGTTTTTGTTTAAACTTTCCTGTTATAAATAAGACTACACTTATCAAAAAGAAAAAAAAATACGATAATGCGTAGTGATTTCAAAAACAGATATAGCTGTAAAAGAAGTAAATAGGCCAAATTTTTTGATTGCACCACCGGAAATCTTGAATAGTAATCCGGACAGAATGTATTAAAACAATGTCTGTAATGGAGGACGAATTACAAACAAGAAGTCCTATTATTTTTTTGACGATAACTGCAAAACGGTAGGTTTCTTCATAATTTAAATGTTAATTCGAGTTCAGCATATACATTTACACGGAATTATGACGATTTGGGAAAATTTTAAGAGATATTTAGCGCGGGTGTTAAGAAGCAAATTTACCAAAAATACTATAGACACAAATAAATAAATAAATTTACTTTTATCTTAGAAAATGGATCAAAGTAAATTTAATTTACTGATTTTTTAAAGAGAAAGAATATTGAATAGAAAAGAAAAAAAAAAACAATAATAAAATGTAGACAAGGCTGTGATTTGTTCGAAAGAAAATGATGGGAAAAATATTGCCATTGAATTCACTCCTTCGCAGATTTACACAACTTTCAATATACGAAAGGGGGTTATTTTTTTGCAATTGGATTTTTTAAAAACTTAAACATGAAAATAAATAAATAGTTAATAGTTTTAATTATCATTTACTACTTATTTCTCTTGAGAAACTCGTTTTATTAGTTAATCGTTGGAAGAATATTTTAAATTTTTTATTTTTATTTATGTTATAGACAAGCGTATGGTTACAAGAAAGAAATACGACAACAGCAGAAATAGATTTACGTGATTTATTTCAACAGGAACGTGAGGGTTTGGGACAGCTACCTTGTGGTATAGTTCATAGGCCGGCTGAAGATCTGGGTTGATCTCTCATAGTAGTTCTCGCTGGTTGGCGTGGCGCTACTGCTGCTGACCGCGACAGGTCTCTTCCCTGGTCTCTTGTTGACGATATTTAGTCACCCCCCCACGAGGGCATCATGTGGCACAAGGCCGGTTTAACGTGAGATCTCCGAGCCCGTGCGCTCGTCCAAAAATATGCCCATTGAACCCGTATGGCGTTTTTTTTATGGCTTGACAGGCTCGTAAAACGACGCGAGTATAATTAGGAGGGAAGCATTTTTATTGGTCGAAAAATAGAAACACTTTAAAATATTATTTTATTTTTCAACCGGAACTCGTGCGTCGGGAATATGCGTAAACGCGTAAATATGGTCATTTTGTGACGGGGCCTTGTCCCGTTCACATCCGGCTCTCGCTCTTGAGTATGTTAGTTTATTTGCCTGCAAATCAGCCGAGATATGTCTTATTTTATTTTATAACCAGGCTCCTCCAGATCTCTGTCTGATTTACAGTGAGCGTTATTCGTGTATATTTGGGTGATTAATTCATGATAAAGTCTCTGAAGCGTGTGGGAAGTTGTCCTCGTGTTCTTCTTATTGGCATTTGTTTTGGTATGGAGTTATTTGCTGAATTATGTGTCCCAGAGGGATGTGGAGGAGAATGATCCTGGTGAGTGTTACATGATGGAGGCAGAGGGATTGTATTAGATTGATGTGTTGGGCGTGGAGCCAGTCGTCGGATATATACACGGTGAACTCGTGCGTCGGGAATATGCGTAAACGCGTAAATGTGGTCATTTTGTGACGGGGTCTTGTCCCGTTCACATCCAGCTCTCGCTCTTGAGTATGTTAGTTTATTTGCCTGCAAATCAGCCGAGATATGTCTTATTTTATTTTATAACATTTATTTATTTATTTATTTATTTATTTTAGTAGTAACTTTAATTCAATACCTCTGGTACAAAGATTTTTATATTTTTTAGTACTGATAAAGTGGCGTGGGGCTTCGGGATAAAAATGAACAGTTGATTTACCCGCACCAAGAAGGTTAATGGAGGAGGAAATACACAGGTAATTAAAAAAAAACAAAACAAGGTAAAGAAATTTATTTACGAATTTACACGCTTGAAGTTGTGTCAGTAGTTCTTTTCAAGAAAATAAATCAGAAACTTTTAAAGTTCATAGTTTTAACATATTGTCCTGAGAGGAAATGTTCATACAGCAGATAAATAATCTGACACAAGGTAAGCGAGTTCGTTGCTCAAAGAAGGTATATACGATTGCATACGTTCAAAAGTAACCGAAGAGAGATAGATTGAAATAATTAGCTTTCTTAGATTGTTGAAGGAAAATTCTTTGAAGTGTCGTGTGCTTGGTTAAAAGTCGATAATATAATTGGCGAGTAATTTAACACTGGCGAAAACTTAAACGCTGGACGCGGTGAATAGAAACGAAACTTTTCACATGACTTCAAACACTCTTCTCTAATTAATTTAATTTTTCTCCTCATTTTATATCAAAAATTTTTTGCATTGGCTCGCTACTTTCTTTTCTATCTTCTTGGCTCAACAGCTAATTTATGTGAAGACAAGTTTTCCATTGGCCCCAAAACAATTTCACATAGCCTCGCGAATTTATTTCCTCCTTCTTTTCAGATCACCGGTTAATATCTGGGAAGACAAGGTTTTCATTGTTCTAAAGAAAATTTCACGTATGCTCACGAATTCCTTTCCATCTTTTCCCTCAGTCCTCCGAATTTGAAGGGAGGTCGTAAGAGGAGTTATTATTATTTTGCACTCGCAACACTGTAAAATAAAGTTAATCTTTAGTTATGTAAAGTAAAATGTCCCCATGACATCAACCAGTTCAAACCCCCAAACTCCCTTCGTGTTGAAACATTCAGATTCCGTCTTAAAAATTAGGTAGATTCATTTTTTGTATTTTCTGCCTTATCTAATTTTTTGCTTCCTCAAAGTTATTTTTTAATTTCCGAATATTGTGATCTTTTTGTCTTGTATATTTGATTTGTTATCTAGCCTTAGTTTTTGTATTAGACGCTCAAGTAGAAATTATTGTGCAAGATGATTAAGGTGTTGTCATGGTAACGAGAGAATTCTGGTCGGGTGTTTACACATTCAAATGCTTGTCATTGATAGGTGATTCACGTCCAGCTGCTGGTGGGGCTTTTGGAATGTGTGTTTTTATTGCTCCCCGAGATCGGTGTATATATAGTTATTCGGATCACGCGGTTGGCTCCAAACGAAAGCTTTTCGGTTTACGCGGGATAGCACCCAGAGAGTTCAAGCGCACGGACGTAGTCGGAAGCATAGCACGTGACTACTGTCCAATCAAA